GACAGGAGGCAAGCCCACACCTGCAGGAGCCAGCAGAGAGGAGCAGGGAACTCTGGGATTTATGCTTCAAGGTTTAATTGTTGCTGAGGTGCAGCAAAGGGATCCTCTTCATAACATTCATGTAGAGCCCTGTGGATAAAAGAACACAAATCTATTCAAAAGTAAGTCTAATGAAACTTACATTGTCCTACCTTGCATTGTAGAACAGGATCAACTAAGATTCTGAAGCACCATGCACCAGCACATGAGTTCAAGCTGCTCTGTTAGCTTTAATGCAGTCATGTTGAATGTTGTTAGGCTGCAGGTAGAAAACCCAGGTGTTAGCATAATAGCTGTTTAAAAGCCAGACCTTGGCCCTGCATCTACTGACACCAGGCTCACAGCCCCACAAGCAGCTTCCTCCGGCACAAAAACCCACTGAAATCCAGAGTCAGCATTCTCCATTCACTGACACAGAGTGGACAGGGCTCAGCCAAACAGAAGAGAAAAGAGCCAGACACACTGAAAGGTGAGAGAGTGCACTATGTTAGACTGTTCGAGTTAGATTCAACTCCAAAACAGTTACTCGGAAGAGTCAGTGGGGCAGGTAATGCAACACAGCCCTAGTAAGCCAACCAATCTGTTGGTCTCCTGCTGTAATGTGTCTAAATCAATGTGTTCAGTGAAAAGGGCCAATCAAGGTCTGAACAGAAGCTTTAGTGACATGCTGACTGTTTGACAACAGACGTTTCTATTTGGGATGCTTTTTATCTCAGGCTTAACGCTCACTTCATCTGAATAATACAACTCCGATAACAGTGTAGTGCCAAAGCAGGTGTTTCCGGTTTTGGCAACAGACATAGCTACTGCTACCATTCCTGTTTACAACTGCTGTGAGTGAGACACAGTTCCAAACAGGTCTACTACCACTAGTTGAGTTCATTTAGCAGCTAATGTTAATCCTAGCTCACCGAGCATAGAGCAAAGAGACTTAGTTTGCCAGCCTACAAACCACTTACACATCAACTTAAAATGAACGTGCTGAAATGAAATGTAGAAACTTCTAATACGTATTTGACATCCACTCTTAATGATTAGCTGACTTCAGACAACTAAGACAACATGTACAAATGTCCGATACGAATTTAAATATATTATATCCATGCATCAGACTACAATTACTGACTATGGAAAAAGCAACACCCACTTTGTGTGACATTTTAAATGTTTGTAATAGTTATAGCTAATTGACTGATTGTATTATACATGCTATATCATTATTGAGTTGTTGTTGTAAATGCTTAAAACTTCTATGACTTCCATTCCAATTTGAGGGTTGGTAGCTGCTCCTCAGTGAAATTGTAAGCGTTTCCTATTTCAAAATAGTACCATAAACGATCTTAAAAGATCAGAGCGTTGCCCCCTCTTGCTCCAGCCACTCGGTGGAGTATAGCGCCGTCAAACTACCACACACTATTCCTTCTTCATTACATTTTCATTCAAATGCTCACATAACGATTGTGGGCAATTTCACAAAGAGCAGCACAACGATCATTACCTCACAGGTGGAACATGATAGCTCGTGCTGCTCGGTGTAACGTCTTCGAGCCTGTACGTTGTCCTTAAATGACATAATTTCGTCTGACATGTTTTTTAAGAGGGGGAACAGTGTTAACATATTCAGCGTAAAAGATTTAACGTATACTTTATAAAGAATCGCTAGCATTAGGGCTAACGTCCTCTCCCTTGATGTCAAAGGCATAATGCTAACAGAGGAGAGGCTTCGACCTAACTACACTTACACTTTTGCAATATTCGCTACAAAGACACAGCCCGTCGATTAACAATATGAGACTGCGAGCTCACCTTGTACATCTCCAGTCGTTATTGATATTCTTTTAAAATGGTGTGTTTTCTTTCCTATATAAATACAATGCTGAGCCTCTACTGTACAGCAGCAGCCATGTTGGGGAGCGCTCTGCCTGGAAGAAGGAATAGTGTGTTGTTATTGGACGGCGGAAGATTACTCTGTCCACTGATTGGCTGGAGCAAGAGTTAGTTAAGATAGTTTATGGTACTATTTTGAAATAGGAAACCTCAAACCTTTACTGAAGAGAAGCTACCAATTAATTTCCCTCAAAGTCTTAGGCATTTACGACAATATATCAATAATGATATAATATGTGTAATGCAATCCGTAAATTAGCTATAACTGTAACAAATATTTAAGGTGTCACAAAAAAGTCTGTCGGTATGGTTGTTAGTCAGCTTTTTATATTAGGACTAGAATAAATGGATAAAATAATTTGTAACATATTACAATCTGTATTTTTACTAAATTGAAACCTTATTCCAAGACTCAAAGTATATCTGTCATGGTGTACTACATTATTATATTGCTAATTTTTGGCAAAGTATGGGTCTGAATACTTTCCCCACCATTTCATAAATGAATGCAAGCAGGAACGGAAAAGAGCATAAATTAATGTATGCTAGACTGACATCATGCATATTTTAACCAGCTGCATTACTCTTTGACAGCAAGTTAAAATGCACTAGTCAATCCCAAGTCAAACAACAGTAAAATATATAATATCTAATCTTAAAGTCAAACCTGTTTTTGTGTTTGACTGTTAGTGTTCCGTCTATGTGATAGTCCATGTAGGCTATAGCCTATTGTGATTTCACTTTTAACTTTACATAATGAGATATTGAATTTAGAACCGTATAAAGTATATTTAGACTATGGTATTTCTACCTTTGCTTAAGTAAAGGATCTGAACACCACTGCTAGATAATAAGGTGTAGGATATAAGCCAAGGAACATAATGAATGACTAATCACTTTTAATAAAGCCATTGGCTACAGTTTAGCATTGTCTTGCAACTTTGTTTTGATTGTGGTAGTGTTGACTCTACATACACACAAACACACATTATGGATTATAGGGTACATAAACAAGTGTCCCGACCACATCTACCCATAATAACATTTAATGAATAATGAAAATGGTACATTTCCTAAACTTTAAGGTTTACTTTTGGTAAATCTTTAGAATACGACCCATTCATTGTTATTCTTTATAACTTGCAGTTTTTTATGTATGTATTGATACAGTGGTCTGCAACGGTAGGTACGATAGAACATGATGTACAGTTAGAGAAAGAGGAGGGAACAATTTGGGAACTGAATGTATACTGCTGATCATTTATGAGGTATAACAAGGTACAACATGACCTATTGAACAATATGTTGGGAGCAGTTTTACAAAAGGTATATTGAAGTAAGTACTGTGTCCCTATGGTAGTGTTACAGGGTACGTGAGAGTGACCATACACTCAGTCATAAAGAGCTTCACCCTCAGCTGAGGCTTTGTTTGGTGCAGCTGTGGTTGACAGTAGAGATAGATTATCTTGACATTTATCCTGTGATTCAGTCAAAACGTCTGCTCAGTTGGAATGTTCTTTTCTGGAGTATGGATAAAAAGGATGTGTTGAATTTGAACATGAAAACATGACCTATCGTTTGTTGTGTTATTTTAATGTTGAGATGGCAGAATGAATATTAATATTTTAGGTCTACACTGGGACAGGACATCAAATCATCCAAACCTGCCTCCGCTGTGAGATGGAAACTTTTAAAAAGCATTCTACTTCCTGTACTCCATAACAACAACAACTCCATGACATCTCCCTGCGTAACAACCACAATTGTCAGTTTCCTGTATTGGGTTTTTTAAGATTGTACATGTGTTTATTACAATCACACTACATATTATTACTTGCACAACCTGTGTGTTCATTTGAATCATAAGAGAATAATAACTCAGATCTGTGGATATATGTAACAAGGCTTTTAGTGTACTTCAGAGTCTCTGTGTTAAAGGGTGGGGCTGTACAAGGGTGCTCTACAAAAGGAACAATGATAAGGTTACTGTGCAAATACTAAATACAGGAAAGCCCATAAAACGAGTCTAGCTTACCTTTTTCTGTGTGATAATGATCAACATTTCATAAGAACGAGGTGTGTATGTGTAATCGGTGCACGTGAAGGATAAGAGAGGATAGGAAATGACCATGGGAGAAAGCATGAAGCCTTGTTTGCTGCTACAGTCAGTCTGTGATGTTTCAAAGTCTATGCGTGTAATTGCGCCTCAACTTGTGTGAAACTGCTTTCTTATGATCACCCTGTTTTATTCCAAACCAATCAGAGACTCTCAGTGATCCCATCCTAAACTATAAGGATGCGGATCCTGAGAGGTTTAACAACTCACAGCAGAGTATCATTTAGTTGTTTGCATTCTGATTCCACACATATTTTCAGATCTGTATTATTGTCTGCTGATCTGAAGAATAAAAACACTTAGTACACAAAACGTTAGTGGCAGCTGAACAGTGTGCAGGGAGACATTATTTTAACCTCAAACTGATATATTCACTGTTGACTTTAAATAAGAAGAGAGGAGGAGATGAAAAACCTCCTGAACCATGAACTTTGAAGGACTCCTAACAAGGAGAACAGCTCCCACTGCTTCAGAATGCCTGTTGTCTTTTTGACTCCTTTTTGTTTTACTTGAGAGACTCCTAGTGACAGAATATTGTGTGTTTAAATGATGGTGTATGACACCATGCTCAAAGAGAAAGGTACCACTTTACTCAGAAAGGGGAAATGTATTCGCTTTCAACACTCGAAAATTACATAAAATCATACAGAAGTTTCCATTAACCTGTAGGTCTACTTGTGTTATGACCAATTTCATTTGGTCAGTGAGGCTACTCACTACTGGTGGTGCAGGAATGAGTCCTAAAACTGGGAAATGAGTTGGCATTTGACTTCCAGTTCCCTTGTCACAAAGTCAGGGATTTTTTGAACGTGTTTTAGGTTAGATGCCTGAAATAAGATCTGTGGTCAACACAAGCTGTAGAGATAATATACCCCACTGGTGAATGTCTGAAGCTTCTATGTGTCTTACAACAAATGAAAACAAGTGACTTGAATTAATCAACAAATATCTTTAATGCTCAAAAGTATTCACTTATCATTGCAACATCATTGCAACATTAACTTCTAACAAGAATTAACAAACTTTACATTTCAAAAATGATGTTATGGAATATTTATGCACAAAATAAGTATTTTTAAGGCATTGTTTAATCATACAATAAATTACTTGAATCCCTCCTGCATTCCCATACAGTATGTTCTTTGATCCGAGTCCACATGTGTTTACACTCTTGGGTGGTCTATGTGTGTGTGTTTGTGTCCATATTCATGTCTCAAGCCCATTTCATCAATGACACAAATGAAGTTACACAGACAAAAATATATAAATTAACAAAAAAAGGTAATCACAAAAGTTACAGAAGTCAGTGATTAACAACAACTCAATGCTGAATGTGTGTGTGTGTGTGTGTGTGTGTGTGTGTGTGTGTGTGTGTGTGTGTGTGTGTGTGTGACCTAGCATTCATATCCTTGTGGGGACCTACATCTGTTTACACAGTCACGTGTGGGGACATAAGGAGGTCCCCATGAGGGGAATCATTAATTTTAGGGTTAGGGTTAGGCATGTGTTGGTTATGGTTAAGGTTAGGATAAGTCTCCAGGAAATGCATGTAAGTCAATGTAATGTCCCCTGAAGTGATGTATACATGGTATGTGTGTGTGTGTCCATCTACTGGTGGCTTGAAATGGAGCTGGAGACGGATGGTCGGATCAACTCTTCCATTATCTGAGCAAGGATGTGGCACAACTCCTTAGCCTGAAATGGAGATTAACAGATTACATCTTGAGGGTAATTTCTAATATGGCTATTTCCAACGACCGTATGCTTAAAAAATTATAACAAATGCGAAATTCACTCTTAAAGTCCTCTAAATAGAAAAGTGTTCACATTATAAGCGCTGCCACAGACTGGGATTGCACATTTGAGAAAGGTGACACGATGAACATGACTAATGACCAAAAAGCAGTGATAAAATTAGGAAATATTTTATGTTATACAAACTTTACAATAACAGACAGTGTAGGTCAGAATTCTCAATACATATTTAAGGGACTTTCGCTTCATTGGCATTTAGGGAATTTCATGGGGTTCTTCTTTTTGTAACTCTACTTTGAATCAATCATAATATTTTTTATGAGCAAAACATAATTTTTACTATATCTCAAAACGTTAATATGTTCAATAGCTATTCAAATGCTGCTACTGATTTGTAGCCATGGATGAGTACTTATTGGTTTTTATTACAAATGTCTGCTTTTTCTTTATTATTGTTTGCCTATTTGACCCGCTATGTCACTTTCGCTGTAAAGCTGTACATTTCCCCACTGCGGGACTAATATAAGGAATTATGATTATGATTATTTCTTTGACAGAAAGATTGGGAAATGTACTTTTTTGTCACAAAATAAATTGGTCAAATTCATAGATTTGTTGTTTGTTGTGAAGGTTGAAAAATATGCAAAGACATACGATTTTGGTATGTGATCCAAAGAGCAAGGCAAGACGCTAAGTTTGAATTTATTAAAGAGATCTGTTAAACATGTGTGTATTTCTTAAAAATAAAAATGACTTGATGAAATCTACACAACATGGAGTCACAGGCAGCTGTCAGTACCTGTTTGAGATGAATGGTGACTTGTTTGGGTCGCCCCGGATTGCCATAACTGATGTCCACAGCTGGCACTTTGCCGTGTTTCTTGGGGCGGACTGTGCGCATGGACTGCACGTCTGCCAGAGGAATCTGAAACACACGCTCCTGCAGAAGAAAGACACATCATCAGATTCTACAGGACTTTATCAATATGTAGTACTTCTTTCTATAAAAATAAACTGAATCCCATTGAAAAGGGACAACAAATGTTGGATAATTCTGAAATAGAAAAAATAGTGCAAGGAAGTATGGCAATACAGTAAAAGAAAGACGTCTAGATTTCCTTTTGTGAAATCTCAGTCCCATAATAACAATCTCAGTCACAAGTTAAACATATTAAATATTGAGGACATAACAATAACAATTTTTTACAGACAGACATTGAAGCAATGGTCAGAGCAGTGGTTCCCAAACTTTTCCTGCAGGGGCCCCCTTTTGTAGATAAGAATATTTTCCACTTTGGCACTGGGTTAGAGTGTTTTAGTGGGATGGCTACTCACTGTAAGACCGTAAAAGTAAACGGGTTGTGGTAACTCAAACATTTAAAAAAGGTAATTCACCGATAATTTTCTGATCTGAACTGATTTGTAATATTAAGTAAACAGTGCTCAACCACTTAAGTCCATATTGGTGAATATACTCAATATCTTTTACAGTAATCTGTCTGACGCTGGTCTCAACGGTGGTCTGAAGTCATGCATTTACATACAGATGTAGCACTCTAGAAAGGACTCCACCCAGCCAGTGGCAGAGCCAGGACATTTTCAGTGTTATGGCCAGGATGGAACCAGTGATCATTTTGGGGTGACATTGAAATCACTATTATATGAACATAAAAATACATCTCACTGGAAAATAAGGGGTTATTTAAGGCACCTACAACACACCTCCACATTATTTAGGATTAAGCTAGTGGTGGAATAGATCAAATAATATCCAGTATATCTAACTATTTTTTTCTTATTCCCACAGGCAAAGTATCAACGAAGCTTACATTATACAAATGTCAGCAGCACTATGAGCTCATTCTCTCAGTGTATCATCAGGAATACAGAGACACACACACATCATTTAAATAAGAGTTTTTAAATTCAATTATTGGTTAAGAATAAACATCTTAAAGTAAATAACAATAAACAATAGCCCTTAATCCTGTAAGGCCCCCGGTTGTAATTTTACAACATTACTTTAAGCTATCCTAAAAAAGTCAGTAAATGTTTTGGTTTTTTAAAAGAGTACATTTACATAGTCAAAAGGTCCTTTTGTTCAGCCTCACAATGCTATTGGGTAGTAAATGTGTTATAGGTCCTGCCCTCTGGAGCATACACTCACACAACCAGGGGCGCCGCCAGGGATTTTGGGCCCTTCATGTTGTGAATCGAGTGGCCCATGGTGGTGGTGGGGTTATGGTATGGGCAGGCGTATGTTATGGACGACGAACACAGGCCACTCGAGTTATTGTTATTACAACGTGACTTCACTATTATTTAACAACTATTTTTATTGGGTTCTTTTATTTGGGGTTAAGTACATTGTCAGAATAAGTGAGAAATTGATTTAACTTCTGTTAGACAGCTATCATACTGAATACATATTTACTGTGAATGTGTGCAAAAATGTATGGCATATAGCTCTAACAGAAGTTAAATTCATTTCTCACTTATTCTGACAATGTACTTAACCCCAAATAAAAGAACCCAATAAAAAGAGTTGTTAAATAATAGTGAAGTCACGTTGTAAAAACAATAACTCATCTCTCTCGAGTTTTCCTTTTGAGCTTTGCCAAAAGCCACTGTGTCAATGTTGTCCTACTTGGTTGCCGTCCGGAGTTGTCCAATATGGTGGACCATCTCGCACATGCGCACTGCAGCTCGGGCAGAGCTGCAGATCGGGTAGTGACAGTGGTTCCTAAGCTAAAGGAGGTTATAAAGGAAGTTTGAAACCTCCTTTCCTATCATGTAGAGAATTCGAACGGCAATTATCATGGCTGCCACTGAGGGACTTCCGGGTCATTTCACTCGGTTAGGAAGGTTCCTAAGCTAAATGGACTATTCGACTTCAGGGTTGCGTTCCGATAATCCAAAAATCAGCTCCTAAATTCTAACCCTATCTCCTATTCCTTGACCTCTGAGTGAAACGTCACGAGGTTAAGGGATAGTGGATAGGAGAATTCAAAAGGATTTAGGAGAAGAGACTGCGGTGCTTAGAGAATCCGAATGCACTTTCACTGTGTTTCGACGTGTTTATGATGCGCCAGCGGACGTCATGAATGTGCGTCTGCTGCTGTGGGGAAACTATGGAAACTACAGTTTTCTATACAGCGGACTACAACATGGATGTTTAATAAGAACGAGGGACTACTGTAAACTCATCTAGAGACTCTGCACCGTGCTCTGATGCTGTTGCTTTATGCTTTATGAACGTGGACAACAGAGAAACATATTCTTCATGACCAAAGTTGGAATTGAAATAAAAAAGGAAAGTGAAACTTATGCTCGTCACCCTCTCCCTCCGGTCCACATTAATACAAATGATCCCAATACGTGTGATTGTATGAACTATTAAAAGATCTTAAAACCAATACAAATGTATTTATTATAAACGTTAGTCCTTAACATCTATCACTGTGTATATCACCATTCAAACATCTTTTAAAAGTTGAACAAACCCCACACAGCTCAGTAAAGACAGTGAAATGTTGACTTTATTTGATCATTTCAGTAAAAACTAACGTTCATATTTCTCTTTTTGATTATAATACTGATGAACGTTCAAAACAAAGCACTTTGGCAACTTACCACATACGTTTTAAAATGCTTAATAAGCACCGTAACTTTCATGATATCATTTCTCCCATTATCGTTTGTGTCCGTGAACGGCCGACTGTTGAGTGACGGCAAATGCTGCGGCTGCAATGCATTGTGGGGCAGCATTTTCTCCTCTCCTTTCGGTTAGGGAGGTCCAGTGGTTCCTAAGCTAAAGGAGGTTATAAAGGAAGTTTGAAACCTCCTTTCCTTTCATTTGGAGAATTGGAACGGCACTTATCATGGCTGCCAGTGACGTACTTCCGGGTAATTTCACTCCGTTAGGAAGGTTCCTAAGCTAAATGGACTATTGGACTGCAGCCCTGCCCTCATAGAATGAACGAGGCCCCGCCTCCAACGCTGTATCCAGTTCTACATCCATGTGTTCTACTGCATGTAAACAACTCGGATATATTTGGAAGTTAAAGCCGAAAACGGACGTATTCCTCCTCTGGGGAAATCGCAGAGGGACCAGTAGTGAAGGTATTGGAGGTTAAACGTGAAGATTTCTTCTCAAATTTTAAGAGAACTTTCCCCAGTCTTGGTCACCGTAATATTGATGCTCTCTTTGGCCGCGCTACTCTGGTGAGGTACGTATTGTCTTTACACCGTATTTGTTCATTTCTGCATCAATTGCATTTAGTGTGGTACGGTGTGTTATTATGGGCATGTTTGATTTGAGCTTTTGTTAGCAACATTATATAGATTTTTGTATTATAATTACATTATATATATACTTTTGAATACGGCAGACAAGCAGGCTTTTCCTTAGGAGGCCGTTGTATTATTTTGGGACATGGTTGAGACTTCATAGACAAACTTAACAATGCTGCTACTCCGGTTCACTTCCACAAACATACTGCTCTCGCTCGCTCTGCACATGCACGCGCCACACACCTACCCCCCCCTCCCCTCTCTCTTAAAGGGATAGTCGACCTTACTCTGTATCACCCTACTATCATATCAAAGGTGATTGATACGTGCAAGACAGTGTGTTTATATGGTTCTAAGTTATATCTCAAAGTAGAACGTTTGTGTTGCAACACTTCTGTGGTACATTTCGATTTAAAATCGGCTTTGTTTGTATTGCCATGCGTGTCTGGGCATGTTTTAGTAACTCAGAGAAGCACAGAGGTTTCACGTTCATTTCATGCAATAGCGTTGGTACCATGCATTCTGCATTTCTGTAACGCAAGCTCACTTTAAATGTAGGCTTGTAATCAGTGCGGAAAATACCATGTCACAGCAAAGCACCAGTAGCTATCCCGGGTCTTAGTATGTTAACCTGACTGGCATACAGTTAATAAAGGGTCACTTAAAACATTTAAAAGTAAAATCAATCAATCAAGTTCATTTTCAGAAGTTATTTCATTCATAATCCTGAGAGTTTAGTAGTAGTCTTCCAGCTATATGTTGTTAAGTCATATAAGCCTGTTTCAAATTGTTTAGAATTGAGCAAAGCTTGCCTAATGCAGCTCGGCATCAGCTCCCGTTGAGTCACATTTCCTTGATGCTCTTTAGCTGTTCACTTTTCAACATGGGGAATGGGCTAGAAAAGTCCACTTTGCTGAGGTTGTTACCACTTGTGGTAGGAAGTAAAGTCTCTGAAGGAGATGAAGCATGGGCCATATTAAAAGACCTTAAAGAAATTGTGCAGCTGGTGTTGTCGACATATTTCACAGAGGAATCCATCCAGTACATGCAGACTAAAATAAGTGATCACAGACAGAGTCTTCAATCTGTCTTCCCAGACTTCAAGCTCAGAGTGACCGTAAGCATTTAAGGCCATTTGAGCTATTTGAGCTATCCTCATACAACTTTTCTGTGCATCCGCTGTCCGAGCTAAATGACACATTAAGTATCACGGCATACAATATGGATGGACATTTCAAGTTGACAATAAATATTTATTTCCACCAGAGACTTGCAGGAATACATGTTTCTACAAGTGGGGACATACTGTATGTGTCACCACCACCCACCATGACAGGCCAAGTTTGCGCACAGTTTTCATTGGAGTTGAATGATACTTAATCCAAACTAATCCAGTTCTTCATTCAAAACTGAACTCTACACACTGCCTGACTTTTGTGTTGCCAAACTGAATGTTCCTCATATTGCCTCTTTTCTCTTTTTTTAATAACAGGAAATGGCAGCTCAAAACTACGTACTTCATGTCCATACCTCAATGGACATTATCAGGAAGATGACTTTATCTTCAAGTCCAGAATCTGTGGATGAGCTAAAAACCATGATAAAAGAAAAGTTTAAGCTAGACTTTGACTTTAACTTATCATACCAAGATCCAGACTTTGACGGGAGGTTATGTTCCCTTGTAGACATCGAGGAGCTTCCATTAAAGGCTGTATTGCTAGTTACGAAGTCTGAGAGTGATGACAGTTCCGAAGCATCAGAGGACACAACAATATTGCCCCATGACATAACTCCAGAGAGGGCAGAGGGATGGCCTGCTGTTTTTCCAGTGCCCACTTTTGCCTTGCAGGTAGAACTCCTACTCAATGAGGGAAATCTTACATATGAGAAAACAGAGAAAACTCTAAAGCTTTCTCGGGGTCAAAAGCACATCATCCTTGAGAACCTTGCAACCAAAATGCATAGCTTCAAGGCATACCCCAATGATAAGGAGGTTTCAATTGTAGCAGAAGCACTGGTCACTAAGCATCCTTGTCTAAAAGAGCCAGGGTCTCAGACAGGATGGTGCGGCTGGAGAAATAGTCTGAAGTTTAAGATGGGGAACTTCCGCACAAAGTTAAGTCGAGCAGGATTTCACGAGGTAGCTGTCAATTCTGGGAAGAGGAGTAGAAACAATCCAGACAAACAAGCTCCCCACTGTAACATCAAAAGACCAAAGAGGGCAGAGGTGAATTTCTTGCCTAATTTCCCACTCGGTGAAGATGGTACAAGCCTTGAGCGATTGAGACTCCAAATGGTAGAGGAAGTTAAGATGAGAGACAAAAACCTTCCCCTGATTGCAAAGTTAATGCAGACTACCTTTGCCCTGCGGCGCAATGAGGTCATCAATGATGAGCTACCTGTTGGCCAGATCCTGGAACGCTGGCCTGCTTTGAAAATAGAGTCACAGGTGAACATCTTTGACTTATTACACATATTTCATTATTGTGTGTGCCTTTGTCATTGATAACTTTGACAGGCTTACTCAGATGTATCATGTTGTCACAGTCTGCTTTCTCACTCACCTATTTTCTGCATTAACATTCCTTAGTCACCTGGTAGTCACACCCTGTCTCTCTCTCACTCTGTTACACCCATCAGCTCCATTAGTATTTAGGCCCACTTCACTTTCACCTCAGTGCCAGATCGTACTTTGCAGCATGCCAGTCTTTCCCGCATTACCCTCCAGATTGCTCTCCCGTTTTCGACCCTGCCTGTCCCTGACCAGCCTGCCTCGCCTGCTCCCTGACCCGTTCTGTACCTGCGACTCCCGTCCTGCTTTCTCCTGGAACCCTCGCCTATCCCCGACCAGCCCTTTGTCTACTATCTGCCGTTTTGTCTCCTACCAGACTATTGCCTTCAATAAAGCTGGTTACCGACTATCCCTGGTTTCCCGTGTGTTGCATTTTGGTCCTCAGCTCGTTTGTGACACATGTTACGTTTCTGTTCATCTCTGCTGTCTTCAGTCTGCATATGCATTGTACTGGGACTTAAATAGTTATTTTATATATTTGCAGATTTGTGCCGAGTTTCAGAGGATTGCAAACATCAACCTGAAGAAGCACTTCTATGCTGAGTTGGATCGGCATGCCCCCCGTCTTCAGAGCCTGTTCAGAAAGAAAGCTGCACGCAAAGGGAAAGTAGCTGAAGGTCTGGATCAGCGATTCAGCTCTTATGACCTCCAGGTGAGTCGGTTATGCCTCTTGGTGTTTGATCATTATATAAGAGTGGATTCTCTTTGTCAAATGCTCATCTCTTCAGTCATGGAAGGGCCCTTGTTGTGATATAAGCTGTTGTGCTGCTATGCTGTTTAGCATCCAAAGTAAAACAAAGATGTTCTCCACCCCAGGAACAAGGCGACGTCCATGTCCTCCGTGCTGCTGTCCTCCGGGCTCTGCCTGCATATCTGCATGAGGATGACTCCAGGTTTCTGAAGCCGTGGCATGTAAGTCAGCATAATAACTGTTTCAAATGTATGTGACAGATGATCACAAAATACAGTTATTCTTGTTACATTGTTTCAGTAGCTCTAGCGCAGGAAGTATTTACATTTGTATAGTGAAAGGTTATAATAAATGAAGAATTTAGTTTGGAAAAGAATGAACGGTCCTGGTGTCATCAAAGATTGATTCTGTCAAGTGAGGGGAAACAGATTGTAGAGAGAGCTATGGCCATTTAGGGTAACAGTTCCCTGTTCTTGTCCCCAGGTGGCGCAGTCCGATGAACCGGACATTGATGACATGGCCGTTGGACTTCTCTTGATCAGTGCCAAGTCAGAAAATACCACGCTCTGCTGCCCAGAGAGGATCGCTGTGGTACTGGAGGGGAGCAGAGTGTTCGAACTCCCCAGATTGGCTGAGGCATTCATCCTGCTTTATGCACTGATCTATGCCCTGAATCTAAGTTACCCAAAAGACTTGGCCAACACCTTTGACTTCACCCAGAAAGTCTTGATGGGCCAGGACGATCGGAAGCTGAGGCCAAGAGTGTTGAGCCTTAAAAATGTCCTGTTGGCAGTGCAGTGATCTCACTCTATGAACAAATAAAGTTGCCCTTTAACAGGCACCACATACCGTAGGCGTAGAGCACTGTATTGTATATCTGTTTATTTTACAACAAAGTCTTTTGAATGTTTCAATATTCAACTTGAAGTTTGAATTTGTTACTGTTCAACTTGAAGGAGTGTTTGTAGATGTGTAAATCGTATGGACAACATGTTCCTGTTCTTTATGGTCCATGTGGTAAACTGAGCAGCAGAACTGTTCCAGGTCACATTGTGTTTGACTCATGCAAGTGATGGTTCAAAAAGTGGCTCTGGACATTTCTCAAGGCCTGTTTTTAAGGTGTTTCGTTTTTAAAAGTGAACTATTTGTCAAACAATACATATTCTTGTTTGGTAAATAGTTTATGGTTATTTAATAAAACAGTGACTTGTATATAAATTGTCTGGGTTAAAGGTTTTCTTTCTTATTTACTCAAAATGAGTAAATAAGACATTTACTTGTCAAGGATCTTACGGTCATTCAAAACCTGGAAAAGTCATGGAAATTCAAAATGCAAATTCCAGGCCCTGGAAAAGTTATGGAAAACAATATTATTCCCAAAGTTTTGGAAAAGTCATACCCATATTTTAGCTAATCGCCAAAATAGTAATACTATAATGATAATACATACTGTATGGCTTTTAACTGACGAGGTGTTTTGCTGGTGAGAGATTTGAGTTGCTTTAGCCTGTAGGAGCTAGTAAGCCTATTTGATTTGTTTTAGATAGGCACAACATGTTTCATATGCACACCTTATTTTCCTGTTCCATGTTCAAATAAACCATTTTCAGTGGTCATTTGTGTCATTTGTTTGGTCATGGAAAATTAGGTAAAGGTCATGGAGAAGTCATGGAAAAGTCATTGGTGAAAAAGTGTATGAACCCTGACTTGTTTACTTCCAGTTACTACATCATATTTATGTAATCAGTTTCAAAAAATGCTTGAAGTACTTTACATTCAGTTTTGAGTACTACACAAGCAACATTTTCAATACATAGTGGGGTTCATACGGCTACATGTTTTTAAAAGGTAATACAAATATTTAGGTTAACCTTGATTTTTATTTGTACTGTGTTACCAAAATACCTAGTTAAAATAACTTAATAAGTACTGTTTAACTAAACAGTTAAAAATAAGTTTGTGTCACTTGAAATGACTAGTAAATAGTACTCAATACATTTGACTTTAACTTAAAAACATTTACATAAGTAGTTTTGATGTAAAAATGTCGATGTCATCAGTTGAAGTTGTATTAACTGGTCAGGTTTTAGTGCTGAAGGTACCTTTGTTTTGGGGTGAAGGAACAGCACCCCCTCCTGACTGATGCTGACCATGCAGGGCAAAGGACAGCCCCGCTGGCTCACCTTCTGGGCCAGGAAGGTGTTAGAGCCAAACAGAGGCATGGCGCTCAGAAACTCTGCAAGACAACCACAATTATTATGAGAGGGAAGGAGAGAAGGAGAGGAGGGGAGAGGAGATACTACCCACCAATAAATTGTATTTTGGCGTTTTGAGGGCTGAGGGAGTGCATGGCAGCGATCTGGCCCTCACAGAAGGTCTGGATCTCAGCAGCTTTGATGCTCAGGCCGTCCAGGGAGGGCAGGTACTCCTTCATCTCCGCTCTTCAAGAGAAAAACAATCAGAAACGTTCAGTATAAAAACAACTTTAGTCAAGTTAGGTGTTGAGTGATAACAACATAGATACTAAAAGAATGCACATGTCACCAGAAGAAAGCAGTATTACTGGGGAGATGATCAGGATAATGTGATGTTAGCGCACTGGCTGACCAATGCTGCCAAGTATAATGGAATGCTTTGTACTTGATGAGAATTCACTTTAGGCAATCATTCACATCTTGTATGCAGTAGCCCAGTGTCAAAAAGGGATTCAACAAATCTGGACTTCCAAAAAGTTGGGAAACTTTAAGTACAGAAATGAAGAAGAATGAAGTGTATAGTGTATTATTGATCTAATTGATGTGTCTTTAAATAAGAGCCATTGGTTATAGCTTAGCATTGTGTTGCAACTTGGTTTTGATTGTGGTACTGTTGACTCTACTTACAAAATAAAATATTAAAAGTGTGTTATACTGACTCTAAACTCAATATACATAAATGCAACATTACCTGTGCGGTAAAATACACATGATGGATTATAGGGTACATAATGTTACCTGGTAAAGGTACGATAGAACTTGAGGAGGAGAAAACAATATGGGAACTACATTTATACTGCTGATCATTTAAGAGGTACATGTTCTACTATAACATGGTACAAAATGACCTACTGAACAATAGTCTGATATTTGGGAGGAGATTTAAGAAAGGTCAATCGAAGAAAGAAGTGTGTACAGCGTACGTGTAACGAGGCTTTGTTTGGTGCAGCTGTGGCTGACAGAGATGTGTTCTGCTACGATTTGGCATAACGTCTGTTCTGTTGGATTGCAATTGTCTGGAGAATGGTTAAAAATGACGTGTTGAATTTGAAAGTTCAAACATGAGCGATAGTACATCACTTTCTCAGTGAGGTACTCAGATGAGTACCTGGAGTCAGTGTTTGGTACTCCAACTTCTGGCTCCATTATCCATTTGGCACAATTCCGTTGTACAGACCGACGTTAACAGACCGACTCTGTCGTCCGGTGATCTAACCGCCTTCTGGAAAAGCTTCACAAGTAGCCTACGTCGGTATGCAAATGCACTTTGTGACACAAGTGACGGTACGCATTTCAGATTGTTGCCGCGCATGCGTACCTGCGTACCAGTTATGTGCACCCCTGGCTATAGCTATATGGTGGAATGACTCTTTCCCCTGACTACTGCCGTCTGTGTTGTATTCTTTTCTGTTGAGCTCTCCAAAATGAATCCATACCTAAACTGATGAGAATAGTGTGTCAGTGTGTGACTCACAGTGAGGGCTCACCCTGCAGACCCTGGGCCAGGTGCTGCAGAGCGGACAGCTGAGCCAGCTGCTGCACCGAGGAGGAGCCGTCTGCAGGGGCCAGCAGGAGGTGCCCACTCAGATAGTCAGCCAGGAGCTTCACACACACACACACACACACACACACACACACACACACACACACACACACACACACACACACACACACACACACACACACACACACACACACACACACACACACACACACACACACACACACACACACACACACACACACACACACACACACACACACACACACACACACACACACACACACACACACACACACACACACACACACACCACACACACACACACACACACACACAGAACACACATTAAAATGACACAAGATAGATTCTGGACCAGTGTTCTGCTGCTCCTGTCTGTTCTCACCTGCTGGTAGTGGAAGTCCACATAGAGGTCACTGCTGAAGGTCAGAGGGCTCCTCCACATCACTCTCCTCAGGGACAGGAAGATGGAGCCGTCATCCAGCAGGAAGTCGAACAGATACTCTTCAGCATGGAGGGGACGCACCATTCCATCTGATGGAGGACCAGCAGATCATCTGTCACTTTGCCCCTTTCACACACACATGCCATTCTCTGCCTTTAGAGGTCTCTCAATAATAATGAAAAGGTGGACGGAGTTTGGTGTCATGAAGCAGCGTAGGATCATGGGAGTTCTGCTCCTGGTTACGATTTCCTCAGTGTTCATGGTTTTACCGTCAATAGTGAATAAGGTGTGACATTATAAATCAAAGTAGTTTCTCTGATGACTTCAGTTCCAGACGTCCTATCATTACAATTCTTCATCAGGTAAACATATAGGTTTAAAAAGCACCCAGATCTAAAAAGTTGATATGTCTTAAAAGCGGATATAAAGACAGTACATGACTTCTGTTTCTGGTAGTCAACGAATATGATGTCATCACAGGAAACATCACCTTCATTCAAATGACACATTTCTCTGTGTATGTGCACAACACAAAACTAATATATATATAAAACATAGAACTAGTCACTTTTAGACATTTGAATGCTGAAAAACGAAACATGCTGCCTTTAACTTGCATCTTTATAAGAGGTTCCCTCAATGAATAATGTCCATATCTCTGAAGTGACACTTTAGCTTTATCCTCAGGGTTTGAAGATAAATTAAAATATCCACTGTATTTTTTAAAGTGTTGATATTGTGTTCTGTGTCATTTTAAGAGTAGGGGTGTACTGTTTTCTGGGGATAAATGGTTTTATTTCTAAATGTGTATGTATTACTTTGGCGTGAAAACAAAGTCATCAGTTGGCCTTGGTGTGTCTCCTGACAGTCATCAGCAGAGTGTCTTACCTTGGCGTCGGTTGGCGAGGATGGAGAACTCTTTGATTTCCGTCAGGTTTAAGACTCCCATCTCTTTACAGAAGTCTGTGACTGCTTCTCCTGCCAACTACAGGAAGATACAAAATACCACCAGGAGGTATGAATAAATAAAAGAAGACTGGTTTGGTTCACACATAAGTAGGCGTATATAAATCTTACACTGAAGCTGCGTATCTTGATGGGGAATTCCACTTCTCCTGGCAGCTGGATGGGAACACGTCGAGAAGTTTTCCCAGCCTGAAGAAAAACAGGCGAAATGTAAACGCCTTGATAATGATGGGATATAACAGTCTATTAGATGTTTTGCTTCAGTGTGTAGGTAACTTGCCAGAATGGCGTCCATCTCCACATGTGACGGGATGTTACGGCGACCGCCAAAAGTGAGAGAGCGCTGCATGTTCTCCTGACACACACACGCCAGCTCTGAGGACACAGGGTGTTAGGAAGAGCCATTCCATTTATATATACATTGTAATATACATGTTATATATTGTAGTATAATGTGCACATTTTACTTTAATGTCTTGTGTTAATATCAATATTTACTATATATATAATTTTAACTTTTATTGGACATTTTGCTTCACATTCTTATGTTTATATAAAACATTTAATTGTATTCATTTTATCTTTGTATTGCACATTCTTTGTAAGACTTCTTGTGTTTATATTCATTTATTATCCTGTTTCATTTTATTATTATCGTTATATCGTTATTTTTATTGGAAATTTTTACTTTAACTTCATATTTTTTTATAAATATCTTTATTTGCTTTAATAAAAAAAAAAGTGTTGCACATTCTTACTCTAACTTCATATGTTTGTATAAATACTTGTATTATTTTAGTATAATTAGTATAGTATTTTGTCTAAATCTTTTTATTTATTTAATTCTAAATCGAGCAGCTTGCACAAAACCCAAATTCCCCCGCAGTAAATAAAGTATTCTGATTCTGATTCAGATTTTGAATCAGCTGCTTATATGTAGCATTTTATATCATATCATATTTTGATATTACAATAACTGAAAGATCAGCACTTAGTGATATCCGTCTGCACGCTTTGTGTTTCTTCTACCTTGGTATGGGTGCTGGTAGTCCTGGGAGATGTCTTGCAGGTGGCGTGTGACAAACGGCTGCAGAGTGTCGGAGCAGGGGAAGAAGCCCGTCATCAGGTTGAGCAGCCGCCAGCCCAGCGTACAGAAAGACCTGGACACAGACAACAAGGCAATTGAAATCAACCTGATTATAAAAAATGATTTCTGCATTTTTGCACACTCAATTCAGGGCCTTAAGATAAGTGATCAGGAAAGCTGTAAGGTTGAGATTTTAAAGCTATACATACAGTATATACAGTCGATGGGAAGTTGGCATTGACATTGCAGAATGCTAAGAGTGCGATGCAGGAGATCCAGAAACACTGAATCTTCAGAAGAGGCTGGATTTTCTGGGAGTGGCCCTAAAGAGACAGCTGCTAAAGTTGTGCGTTTCATTGAGAGGGGGAATACAGGACAGAAGAAACCCGAAATACAAGTATAACTCTAAAGGCAAAAGATGGAGTTCAGTGGCGCAGTGTAAATTACAGATGGTTCAGCCCATCTTTGAATTGAAAACAGTAAAGATGACGGCTCAAAAACCAGAAGAATTAGCTTAAAGATGTTCAGAAAAGCTCTGTAGAAGCTCCTTGGCTTCTTCAGGTCCAGGGTTTCACATCCAGGGTTTGAATCTTTTGAAACGCGTTCACACACAGAAAATGTTACCAAACACTTCAATAAATGACACTCACTTGACTGGGTTTTGGGTGGTTTGCTTGATGACCTGGCAGTAGATTTCATCTCTCAGCATCTCCTTCTCCTTCCCTAACTGAACAGAAAGTCTTCTTTAAATATCATCAAGCTTATGGAACTCGAAGACACAGATTAACACGGGGGGGGGGGGGCCTCACCAGAAGGATGTGGCTCAGACAGCCTGACTGTGTGTTATCCTTCTTGAACGGCATCTCTCCCATGAACTCCATCAGGTCTGGAGGACAGGGGAAAGCAGATAGATGAAGAGAGTGAGAACAGTGGTCTCAGTGTGTGTGAATGTTTGGATGGTACATGTGGATGCACTCACTCATGAAGCACTGGACTGATAACTCATTGAGCTCAGGATCATTGTAGAGGATGAGGGACTCCTGGATGGGAACCTGGATGAATAAAAGCAAACACAGTTAGTTGACTTGTTCAGGAACTCTCAGTTACATTAAAATATCAGCATTAACAGTTAGCTGAAAACAAAGGCCTGTGTATATATCAGAACAATACAATTCAGAGATCCGCTCAACTCATGGTTCTAAATATCCAAGCAAGATTTGAAAGATTGGCTTGTTGGTAGGTTTGCTGATGCATAGATGTCAGTGAAAACCTTTTTATACAACTTATTTCTCATGTATTCTGATTTGAAGGTGGTATCAATATATTTTCTGGTCTAAGAATTACATTTGATTTAGTTTAGTTATGTTCAACGTGACATTCTGCTATTGAACCACATTTCTAATTACACGTTTCCCATACCTTTATGTCAGCTTTACAATAAAGTAAAAATACAAAAAGAACATTTGTGACATAACATATAAGCTCAAGGCTGTCATTTTGGAGTGGATCACATGACTCCTGTTCTGAAGTCTTTACACTGGCTTCCTGTGTGTCAAAGAATAGATTTCAAAATACTGCTGCTGGTTTATAAAGCACTGAATGGTTTAGGCCCAGGATACATTTCTGACCTCCTGCTAAATTATGAACCATCCAACGTCGGGGCTCCGTGGTACTCAGAGATGACACAGATGAAGGTGGGCCAGCCCTGGGCAATCCCCCAGTTCTGGGGGGCGACGTCTCAAGAGGCAGGTGCAATCGGGGCGTTACCCACTCTCGGCCGTCCTCTCCAGGCTTGGCTCCTGAGAGGGACAGGCTGAGACAGGGTGGATTGTCTGACAGCGTTATTCAGTCTATCCAGGCAGCTAGAGCTGGATCCACCACAGCCTGTTACAGGCCGAGGTGGCTGGGATTCCAGCGATAGAGAATAGAGCCCCTATATTGGGCTCTATTTTGTCCTACTTACAGTTACTTGAGGACAGAGGACTTGCTCATTCCAGAGTGAAAGTGTATGCAGCAGCCATCTCGTCCTGTCATGAGGGATTTGACGGCAGGTCAGCCTTTAGTTAGCCACTGAAGTCGCGGTTTTTACAGGGGGTCAGGAGGCTGCGCCCAGTAGTGCACGCCTCCGCCCCGCAGTGGGACCTGCCGCTAGTGCTCGAGGCTCTGGTCTCAGAACCATTTGAGCCTCTGGAGCTCTCCTCCCTGAAAGCACTGTCGTGGAAGACAGCATTGCTTCTTGCCTTAACGTCAGCCAAGAGAGTGTCCAAGTTAACTGCTCTGTCGGTGCACCCGAGTTGCTTGTTGACCCGGGGTGACCGGAGCAGGGCGACCTCCTTTGTGCCGAAGAGCCTAAGGAGTGCGTTCAGGTCGAGGGCTATTCAGTTAGGGGGTTTTAATCTTCCCCCCCATGGTGGGGCCAGGGAAGCTAAACTGCACCTCCTCTGCCCGGTGCGTGCGCTAGCATGTTATGTGGAGCGCACGGCTGCCTTTAGACGCACTGAACAGCTGTTCGTGTGCTTTGGGGGCGGGGTGACCGGGAAAGCTCTGTCCAAGAAACGCCTGGCAGGCTGGCTCTGCGAAGGCATTGCACATGCCTACGGACAGGCGGGGAGAGCCTGCCCCGCAGGGGTCCGTGCACACTCTACACGGGCTGTGTCAACAGCCTTATTCAACGCGTGAGTGTAGAGGACATATGCACGCGGCGTCTTGGTCAACGCCAGGCTCCTTCACAAAATGTTATCTCTTGGACATGTCTGGCTCGAGGTAAAGGAGGGTGCGGTGCAGCGGCTGCTAACCAGAAAGCCTGTCAGGGGCAGTGGGATGGAACGGTGTTGTTGGAAGACAGCGCGTGTATACATCGGGGCCTGTGAGAGATATAACGAGGGGTTACGTATGGTAACCCTTGTTATATAAGCACAGGCGGAGCCCTCTACTCGGGGCCCTGTCGGTCCTATGCTGCTTGCTGAAGAGAGGTGTAGGATGACAGTCAGGAGGCGAGGCCTCCCTTTATACGGTGAGATGTGCGCGCATTCAGGTAGGCCCGCCCCGGGGCCGGCTACGTTTATAGAAGTCTTAGTGGATGAATGCTTGCAAGATATGATCAAGGGGTAGTACCCATAGAGTCCAGTAGAGGACTCCGCCTGTGCTTATATAACAAGGGTTACCATACGTAACCCCTCGTTACTGCACTCTGAGCAGGTTAAAGTCTGCTGTGGTTGAACACATGGATACGGATGTGTCCATGTACAATCCTGGTAGTATGAACAAGAGTAGACCAGGTCATCTGATGTCAAACGGGTCACTCTTACCTCTGTGTGTTTAACCGCCTCTGAAAAAATCCTTCCAGTTGCTGGCTGACCTGTAGACCCCACTCTTTAATAAAAAGATGATGAGCACAAAATTAGCCATGACGTGATAAAAAGCAAACCATCGGACTATAATCGACAATGGTTAATATTCTTCTGTCGTACCTGAAGTAGTTCATGGCAAACTCAGCCATGCCTGAGAAGATCTCCAGCTCCAGGACCGAGCCCTCCCGGGAGCTCTGGACTGACCTTCGGGCCAGAACCGAGCCCTCTCTGCTGGATGGACCTGGAGGCGGGCTGTTTGATTGACTGACAGGTGCAGCGCCCCTCGTGCTCTTCCTCTTGTCATCTTTGCGGTTGAGGGTCTGACAGTGGTAATCGGGGGCCGCAGATGGCTGGGTCAGGTCCTCTGGGAAAAGCCCAGAGCGCCCTCCCAAGGTGCCAAAACTCCATCCTGGTGGAGCAAAAACAACATTTGAGTTGATAAGGAGATTCTGAAGCCACCAACACCTCTCCTAGATAGGAGCAATACATACACACTCCATAGTGTAGCATCTTTTGTTGTATTGTGTCTGGTTGTGGCCTTTTCATGTCTCTGCTGGTTTGGCCTTTATTCATCACCACTGTAAGTCTACGTGTAGCTTTGGAGCCCTTTTGCATCTCTCTTTAGGTGTTTTTGGTCTCTTTGTAGTCTTTTTGTTATCATTTTGAGTCTATTCCTGTTTGGTATGTATCTCATTGAATAATGTTTTGCAGGTGGGCAGCTAACACTTTTGGCACAGTGACCCATTCTGAAATCAAGCATGCAAAAAAGCTCCCACAAACTGTCTGGCACCCACATAATGACCTCACCTGTCTGGAGTCCTTCCATCGGGAGCAGTTTGATGACCTCACCCCTGCTGAAGCTAAGCAGACTCTTGTCATCGGTCACATAACTCTTCAGGGCAACCACATGGCCGGAGTCCTAGAGAGAAACAAAAACATGTCAGGGTGATATGTGGAGTCAAAGTTAGAAAGCTCTATCACAGTTGGGGGGTCACATGGCCCAACGATTGTGAAAGATGATGAAAATAATGATGATGCTTTAAGAGCAAAGCAGTACCCTGAGGAGCTCCTGGAGGAAGAGCTGGATCATGGCGGTGATCTGTGGAGCTCTGGAGGACTGCAGCACCAACACCTCACTCTTCAGCTCCACCTCCGCCCTGTCTGTTCCCCGGAGCTCCACTGACAGCAGCTCTGCAAAACTACAATCATGCGCAGTTAACAATCTGAGGAAGCAACATGAGCTGAAAGAGACAGATCTGATAAGCAGTTCAAGTAGAACTTAGAGAGTGAATAGCAGACCATGCCTGTGACAGTGTTACTACCATCATCACTACTAAGGAAGATTCTGTTGAAAGCAGGAGAACACGAAAGCGTTTCACTTTACATTTCATGGCATAACATCATTCTGAGTCATTTGGGAATTGTATTCTGGCTGCAATGCATTTCCAAAAGGAGGAGAGGCTACCAGAATAGCAAAACTAAATAAGAAAACTAAAACTAATGTCTTTATTTTCGCTTTAACTTCTTTATTTTACTGTGGCTTTTTACTCAATAAAAATATATACAGGTGCAACTCTGCACGTCTCCCATCATGGGCTCATAGTAGGTTTCAGGTTTCAAGCTGCATTTTGAAATGACAGGACAGTGACGCATGACGGGGAAGAGATGTCATATTGTTTGAATATGGGGCTAATGGTACATTTAGTCAGACATTTATAGTGTTAATGAAATGCTTCTAGGGTGGGAAAAATATTTAGCATCACACAGAAATAAAAAACATCCTGTTTTTGACCTAAGACTTAAACCACCTTATGTGGAAACATTGGAAGAAACCAAGAAGAATATGAAGTGATTTTGTGCTGCGTGTGCACCTGTAGCTCCGGAGCAGGCGGAGGTGTTTGGGGTTGATGCCTGACGCTCTGACCACCTTCAGCAGGCGGATGCCTCGATGAGACACAGCCAACACCTGAGCATCCCCACTCTCCGGCTGCAACACACACACAGACACAGAAGATGCATGTTAACAGCAGTAAGAGATTAGTGATCCAGCATGAGCTTGTAGAATCTGTTTTATATAATCATGTGTTTCAAGACATACTAGTGGGTTACTCATTTAGTTTTGAGGAAAGAGGCCGATCTATTTCTATGACCAATAGTTGTCTTCATTGGCATGTGACGTATCAGCAGAAAAAGTTTATGGAACCTGGGATTATTTAAAGACTGAGGGGACAGAGGTCAGTAAGAGTTCAACTACGCAAGCAGTTTTGAGGAGCATATCAACTCTGAGATTCACTTCGACTGTAGGGACATTACGCTATTGACTGCTTTGTTGCAAGGTAATGTGTCTCTTATAGTGCTGCACAGCAATATACAGTAATATCCAACTTCAACCATCTCTGTGCTATGCTTCAAATAAAACAAGCAGTCATCTCCTGTAAATATTGTATTATATTGTCACATTAAAACCATTTTGCCCTTGAATCATTCTGTAGCACAGACGGATTTCCTTATTATATAAGGTTTTGAAAAGTCCATAGCCAAATAAGTTACATCTTCTGTTTAAGAGTAACACACTCTTATTAGAATTAAATCACAAAATCTATTGGAACCTGTTCAAATAAAAGTATGTTAATCAGTTACATTAAGATTGATTTGTAACCTCACTGTCGATGGCCAAAAGTATTCTATTATTAGAACCTGTTCATGCTCCCTCTAAAGCAAATCATAAATGACAACAAGGTTTATTATCCAAGCTTCACAGACAGCTATTGTACCAAATGACTTCCTGTAGCTACGGTGCAATGACAATACCGTTTAATCTAATCTAAAGCACATAAATGCCCATTACATGAATACATAGATAATGGAAATCATTGTATTTTGCAGCAATGATAGATTGAAAGGTATTACTCTGCTGGTAACCAGAGCTTTAGAGAGTCAAGTAAGACATTTTGAAATGGGTTCAGTCCATATTTGAAAAACATAGTTGCTGCCTTAACCCAACAGGATAGACATATTCAGAACACTGCTGCCTATCAGAGCTTCTTTTAACATTTGGCATCCAATAGAACTCTAAAAATCACTGCTGTTCTAACATGTTTACACTGTTTTCCAGTCTCTTGTTGAACATATTTGAAAATAAATCAAATGTATGCTGTTTTCAGCTGAACCAACTGATGATCTGAAATGCTCCCCAACACTAGCCACCTTCAAATCTCAATAAAGACAGAAGCTGTTCTGGGCCAGTGATTGGTTGGATTCCTCTACTTCAATTATTTAACTGTTTTAATCACAATGTATTCTTTATTCTGGTAAAGCTATAGGACAGTGAGATGCTTTACATTCCGGTCTCACCTTCACAGGGAACAGGCGGGTGAAGTAGTTCTCCCAGTTGTCCCGAGCAGCCATCACAATCCTCTTCTTCATGTTGTCGTTCTGGATGGTGCTTATAGTCATTCCTACGTTGAAATTTGCTGGAAGAAATGTGAAAAATTGGATGATGATGAGCAAACTAATGCAGAAACCAATTAGAATTGATACAGTGTATATTCAGTGATCATTTATAATAACAGCCCCTTGTGAATGCATTTACAAAGCAGTTATCAGTTATAAGACGATGTGTCCCTCTCACCCAGCAGGTCCTTCATCTTCCTCCTCTCCTCTCTGCTGATCCTCACACAGCTGTCCGAGTATGTGTCCTTCATGATCTGAACAAATGTAACAATAATTGCACACTATCAAACAATCCGAGGCTACTGTAGAGAAATCTAATAGGATGGCTTATATATCAGGTTAAACATGATGGGACACTGACCTGTTCACATAACAGATTGAGGATGTAGGGCCGGTTGAACATCTCTCTGGGGTAAAACACCTGCACACAAACACATGATAGATTTTACTCACAAGATTTCGAGTCCTAGTAGGGCATACAGTATTTGCTGTATTCATGTTGTGTCGAAATAATTGGAAAAAGGACATTTGGGCTTTAACAGTTCCTGTCATCATCCCCTCAAGATGGTATATTAACTCAAAACATAATAAGTCTTCGTGTAGTGCCCATGTTGTTTCCACCAAACATAAAGCTCATAAACACACGGAAGCTGGAATAACCGTTTTCAAACTTTGGAATATGAACCTTTTGAGGAGTACGCATAATTGGCCTCGGCTGAGGTCTTTGCTGTCCGACTTGGTGTTATGTAAGTAGCCCATAGCTGCTGTTAACAGCTGCCTGCTGCTGGACATGACTTTAATGAGAGCTGTGATACTGATCCAAAACACCAAAGTTCTGGCCAACAAACTGTAATACACCAACTAAAGTTGCCAGTTATGCTAAGGTCAATGTATGGGATTTGTTGACAATAAGAACACATTTTCGAGGACAGTGACTGCAGATATATGGAAACGGCTCTGGTAAATAAACCTGGAAGTAAGCTTTAAAGGTCCCGTATTATACTAATTTTCAGCAATATATTATAGGTCCTAAAGATATACAGAACATGTCTTTAAAGTGTTTGGCTGAAACACCAAACAGATCATTGTAGCATCCCATAGTGCTGATTCTGTGCCTGTAGCTTTAAATGCTAATGAGCTGCTGCTGGCCACGCCCCTCTGAGAAGTGATTGGTTTAAAAATAAATAAATTAAAAAAAACACAACGGTGCTCTAGGAGGAGATTCAGCTGATATGGTGCCCTGGGTGGTGCACCTCCCATCGCATTATTGCTTCATACAACCCAGGCCAGGAGAAAAAAAAATCTGCACAACTATTTATATTGTATGAATGACTTTGGTGGTATTTCGAGGCGTGAGATACATTTTGCTAACTTTATAAACATCAAAAGTGTTTATTTGATAGAGATAGTGTACCCGCCGCCCCCCTCTCTCTCTACCCCATATGAGGCGACCTGAGATCACCCCCGCCCTTCATAAGGGCGTCCGCGCCCCCTTCTACCAACACCAGCAACAATACACTATATGAAATTACGTGCATATTGCGATTAAACATTTTTTTTGACAACCCAATTTGGCAACCGGCCATGTCGCCCATATCAATATCCGCCACTGGGCGGGGGTTACCTTGGTTGGTGATTGGCTAATGGTTGCACAATCCAAAAAAACTTTGTGACATCACAAAGTGGCCAAAATCGGATCAGCTGATTTTCAGGCAGGTTTTTATCAGAATCAGAATCAGAACACCTTTACCTTTATATATAGATGGATCAGGACAACAAGAGAGGGAATATGAAACGTCATCAGCATACAACTTGAGCACACATCCCAATGGGGAAGATGGATCAATGATGCAAAGAGATGAGAGGAACTGCGGAGTTGGTGACAGTTTTCCTCAACAAATACACCTTTCACAACACAGTGTCATTTTTGTGTGTGTGTGTGTGTGTGTGTGTGTGTGTGTCTTACTTCTTTGCGCAGGAACAGTTTTCCCGGCACATAGGAGTAGGAGAAGTAAACCCCAGCAGAGAAGCGGTGCAGTTGTGAGCGGATGCCGTCCCCATCTGGCATCACATCTGCAGGATATTCACAGGGGGTGGGGTCACTGACTGATGTTAACCTTACATTCTATCACACAATTTAATGGTAGTTAGCAGCTAGTCAGCTAAAATGCATCATATAAGAGGCCTTTAATATCTGGAGAACATGTAGAGAGCAGCACCCACCGAGAGACGGGGCCGCCATGGGGGGCGGGTCGGGGATGTGCTGAATGTCGAGTGCAGGGCGTGGGGGAGGTGGGGGGTACTCGGGGGGAGCAGGCGGAGGGTTAGTGGAGCGCTGAGAGCCGAACAGGTCCCCCAGGGAGCGCTGCTTCTGCTTCATGCTGCTAGAGATGACACGGGCCTCCCTCATGGAGGGAGGGGAGGGCGGGGGGGACGGGCGCTCCCTTTTAGGCTTGACTGGTGGAGGCACCCACTGTCTCTGATAGCAGGAAGATATAGAACATGTGAGGATAGAGCGAACATATATTAAAGATGAAGATACTTATTACGAGACAACATCATAGATAAAATACCCCCCCCCCCCACTGACCTGCTGCTGTGGCACTGGAGCTTTACTTCTGAGTATGGCCAGAGCTTCCTCTTTGGGGTCATTCTGCTTCTTAAAATTCCGTGCCGGATGTCTGTGAAGAGAATACAAACTGTGAATCACCAACATTACACAAGTTCTTATTTGTAGTGCATTTTGGTGACTGTGGAACTTCAAGGAGTCCTGGTAATGTCAGGGGCTGAAAGTTGGAAGAAAATGTCATTCAAAGTATTACAAGACATTTAACATTTATAAATCTGCCGATGAGGAACTAAGCTGCATCTAAGAATTATTTATTGAATTATTGATTATTCTGACCATTGTTCTTTCAATAAATGGATAAACAGATGTGTCAAAAATAAGTGATTTACTTAATACGACACAAAAGAGAGAGAAGCAGCCAATCTCAATATTTCAGAGGCTGAAAACGACAGCTACGAATCCATTATCAACATTTGTGTCCATAGACTTATTGTTGCAGCCCTTTCATGAACTGTCAGGAAATCTGTAAAAGTTATTTATACATGTCATACATAATAATCCTACATCATTTGGTAACCACCAAATGATGTTTGTGTCCTACTCTGTGTAAATATTTTACAATATGGGCCCAGCTGCAGTCTCCTGATAACCATAATGTTATCTCCTAACAAGCTCTTTGTGACACCATAGACCAGTGCTTCTCAAACTTTGTTCAGTAATGTACCCCCTTTGAAATATTTTCTCAGCCAAGTACCCCCTGACCGACCCCGAACATCTTTGATAGAAAAAGCCTATATACATAATTACAATATAGTGATGTTCCATCAGTGTGTGATTTATTAACTCCTTCATGCATGAATTACAACAAACTAAGGATTTTTTTAATCTTTGTGCATGAAAAAAAAGAACATTTTTCCAAGGAGTTTTTCAATTGAAGTAATATATATGTTTAACAAACCAATGAACAAAATGATATATTATGAAAAACTATAAAATACAATACACACATTTGACATGTTTATATGAGGACCCCCTTGGTGGTTCTAGAAATATTTTATATAAAATTGTGTTTTGTATTTCACTTATTGTACTAAGATTATTTTTTTAATCATGCATGGTATCTTTTTTAATTAAACTTTTTTTTCCTTTTAAAAAAAAAAAATCTCACGTACCCCCTGCAGTACCCCAACGTACCCCTAGGGGTCCGCGTACCCCCTTTGAGAATCACTGAGATAAAGAAATACGAAAAGATACAAGGTTCATGTAGCACTGATGATGCAGGATGACATCACCAAAACGCTCCATATATATTTACACTAAACCAGAACGACGTGAAATCACATTCTCAAATCATGAATCTCCTCTTGGATTGTTAGTGTCTATTATTACGTGTGTGCACTCAGAGTTTGCAGTGTCATGTTTGCAGAGCTGCTCAAATGTTGCCAAACACACAAAAGTTCAAAAGGTCAGCCTTCTGATGTTTCTTGAGCAAAGCCTGATGTGACGCCAGGGTTTCCCACACATAGGCTATACTTGGGCGGGCCGCCCAGGTATATTAACGGCCGCCCAAGTATATTTCGCGACCCATTTATTTTTTATTTTTTTTATATATATTTTTTTTATTCGTCCGTGACCACGACGCCATCTGCGATCGATTAACTTGTAGACAATGATCCCTCGCTCCCTTGCTCTGATCTCGCCTCCTTCTGGCCTGTTAAGTGGCCTGCCTCACACAGGGTGACTGGCTGTCTACATGATGTGGTCTGCCTCACACAGGGTGACTGGCTGTCCACATGATGTGGCCTGCTGACATGGCCACTGTCATACAGATCATAAATCAAAGCCCTTGATTGGTCTCTCTGTGTCATTCAAGCTCGGGATAACCTCAGCTCAGGTGAGGTAAAGGACTCTGAGTGTTTAGATAGTTAACTTAGTCTAAGTTCTCAGTGGGTCTCAAACGGTGTGGTCACCATTTATGTAAACACATATTTCCATTTGAGAGGGTAGTGATTGGTCTAATGGATAGTGAGGTGGGCTGAAGATCGGAAGGCTGTGAGTTCAAATCCCGCCAGGAACACCAGCACTAGTGTGCCCTTGAGTAAGGCACTTAGCCCTTAGTTACTCCAGGGAGAATGTCCCTGTAATCGGTCATTATAAGTCGCTTTGGATAAAAGCGTCAGCTAAATGAAATGTAATGTGATTAGTAAAATATGCATGAATAAATAAATAAAAAGTTAACTAGGTGAAAAAAGGTAAGATACACTTTTAAAACTTGTTGAGAGAAAACTAGTCTTTGCTGCTGCCTCAAAGAGGAGCAGGGGGAGAGGATGGAGAGGGGGGAGAGGAGGGAGACAGGAGAGGCTGATTCAGGAGCACAGACACACTCACAACTATAAATGAACCAAAACTAAATTAATAAACAAGTTTCAGTGTTTTTTTCATATTGGAAATGGTATGTTATTGGTTATGGCCTTGATTTTATGATTATTGAAATGTATACAGTTCTGTTAAATATAGGTGTTTCCATAGATCTAGTATCTTTATTTCCCCCTCAAAATGCACCAGATTGATGCATTTAACTCCAAAATAAAAAATTAAATCTTACCGCGGGGGCATGCCCCTGGACCCCCCTAGAGGATTTGAGGTCGACCCCCACTAAAAATCACATGGATAGGTTCCTAAATACATTAATAAATACATTTATTTTTTTAAATAGTAACCCATTTCCATATGTTCATGTGTGGGTAGTAGATTTAAACTATAGGGCTATCATTATGGACCCTGCCTGTACCTGTACCTGTTCGCTCTGCCATCGCGTGAAGGGTCTGCTAACAAGCGACCAACAGAAAGGTTAATGTTGTTGCACGTCACCTCAACCCCCCCTGCTACCACCACCCCCCAAAGTATATTTCAGATCTGTGGGAAACACTGGCAGTTAATGGACCAGCACCAGAGGCATTCCCATACACACAGGCGTTGGAGCTGTTCTTCATGAAATCCCAGAAGGATGAAGTGCTCTGACAAACAGTGCCATCTTTGCGCAAAATGATTATACCGGAATGAAAAGTCAATAAATAATGTTGTTAAAACTTTTTTTTTTTTCGCGCACCCTCCCCCCCTTGCCACCACCCGCCCAAGTATATTTCATATCTGTGGGAAACACTGGACGCCCATTCAACATGTGGGACAAAAGGGATCAATCAGCAGCATCCAGCAGGATATTAGATCAGATCAAACTTTGTAAGAGAGAGACTGACCTGACGGGCTCCAAGGGTATGGCCTCTGGTTCGGGTCGGCTGTTGTACATTTTGATGATTTCCCGGATGTTGGAGGTGGGTTTAGGCTTAGGCCTAGCTAGAGGAGCTGGGGTGGGTGTTTCTTTTGGGGGGTCCGCTTTTGCGACAGGAGGGGTGTAGAGACGCTTCACTGTGGGAGATATGATATATAGGATTCAGATGCCAACAGAAAGCAGAAATCTACATTCTACTAAATATTATCGTGTCCATTGAACTTGTTTCATCTTATTACCCGCAGGCTTTGGTGCTGAAGGGGGGGGTGATGGTTGTGGCGGTGATGGGGAGCGCTGCTGCCGCCTGGATGTGCTGGGGGGGGGTGAACGAGGGTTTGGGATTTCTTCATAGGGCTGATCACCTGGAGGACAGCAGAGAATGGAGGATATACACACAATAATTACATTTATATTCTATCAGATATCGTAGAAAGTCTCCTTATAGGACACTTAATAAGTGTGTCCTTATTTTAATTGATTTACTTTTATTAACATTTTTTGAATAAGGGGCAGATCAAATACAATTGTATTCTCCCTGCTCCTGTCCATCGTGGGCTACAAAAACTGCATAAAGTGTACATCTTTTGTTTTTTAATAATTTCCATTAGTGGAATAAACTAATAAATAAATAAAGAAGTGTTTGTGTTTTATGACAGGATGAACACAAATCTCTTCCACTATGATGTTCGACTCTTCTCAAAGTCAGATCCACAAGAAGAGATGAATCAGAGTTTGTGTGGATGTGACAGAAAATGTGCCAGTTTGAAAGATAGTTAAGTAAAAAGCAAAAAAAGAAGCTCCAGGTGTTTGTACAGGTCGCTCAGCTCCAGGTGTTTGTACAGTTCGCTCAGCTCCAGGTGTTTGTACAGGTCGCTCAGCTCCAGGTGTTTGTACAGGTCGCTCAGCTCCAGGTGTTTGTACAGGTCGCTCAGCTCCAGGTGTTTGTACAGGTCGCTCAGCTCCAGGTGTTTGTACAGTTCGCTCAGCTCCAGGTGTTTGTACAAGTCGCTCAGCTCCAGGTGTTTGTACAGGTCGCTCAGCTCCAGGTGTTTGTACAGGTCGCTCAGCTCCAGGTGTTTGTACAGGTCGCTCAGCTCCATGTGTTTGTACAGGTCGCTCAGCTCCAGGTGTTTGTACAGGTCGCTCAGCTCCAGGTGTTTGTACAGGTCGCTCAGCTCCAGGTGTTTGTACAGGTCGCTCAGCTCCAGGTGTTTGTACAGGTCGCTCAGCTCCAGGTGTTTGTACAGGTCGCTCAGCTCCAGGTGTTTGTACAGGTCGCTCAGCTCCAGGTGTTTGTACAGGTCGCTCAGCTCCATGTGTTGTAGAGTTATATTTGTATTTATTCATGTTAGCAAACTATGGATAAGCTTAAAATGAGAATAATTTGGGTAAAACTGTGAGCTGCATTTGGGGCCTGTTGACATGTGTTTTTGAGGACAAAGGAAGATGGGGGAAGATGAGAGCATGTCCTGATTTGCATTCAACTTAGAACGAGCTACAGTGGTTGTGATATTAAGAGAGGTCCCTTGGGTTTCTCTGGTGGTTATCAACAGTAGCAGTTAAGTGAATACTGTTCAAACAATACCTGTGTTTGTGTTTTATATTGATTTCTCTGTTTTATCCTTTCATAAATGTAAGGACTACAAATGGCTATAAACATTCTGGGCTGGTTGGAGTAAACAGGGTTTTATTGCTCTGTGGGGGAGGTGTAGGTATGCAGGCCTTGAGACCTTTTGTCGTAAAGTGAGCCTGTTTGGTTTCCTGCTGCGTTTCCTGCTGCGTTGCGTCTCCCAATGAGATGACCTGAAAAGATGACCAGCTGACCTAACACCAAACCCCTCCTTCTTACTCTGGTATATATCCGGTGGATCCCTGGCGTTCGGGCTCTTCTTCACATGCTGCCCTCGGGTGAAAGTAGCTCTGCAGTATGCGAACCAGTGCAGGAGTAAGCCGGCATTACTCCTTAAGCATTACAATATAACTGTAATATATCATGTTGTATTGTAATGATTGTATTGCATTGTCATATTGCCATTAAAGTAGATTATTGTTAACGGTTACTTTGTAGATATGGATTCCTTCCTGTATTATAACCAGCTTCATAGGAACGCGCGGAGATTTGAAAAGCGGATCAGATATCCCTTTTAATCTCCAACAGTGTTTGTACAGGTCGCTCAGCTCCAGGTGTTTGTACAGGTCGCTCAGCTCCATGTGTTTGTACAGGTCGCTCAGCTCCATGTGTTTGTACAGGTCACTCAGCTCCATGTGTTTGTACAGGTCGCTCAGCTCCATGTGTTTGTACAGGTCGCTCAGCTCCATGTGTTTGTACAGGTCGCTCAGCTCCATGTGTTTGTACAGGTCGCTCAGCTCCACTCACCGATCTTCTGGAAGTACCTCCTCTTGTCTCTGAAGGACTGCAGGTCCTCTGGCTCTGGGGGGTCCACCACTCGCTCTGGCTGGAGAACACATGGCACACAACGTGTTAACACATGGGGGGGAGACAGTGTTGGAAGAAGTTCTCAGATCCTTTACTTAAGTTAAAGTACAAATACTATGGTCTTAAAATCATCCACTACAAGTTATGTCCTGAATTCTAAATGCTACTTAAGTAAAGTACAAAAGTATTAGCATCAAAATATAGTACAAAGAGTTAGTACTGACTCTGCATAATGGTTCATTTCAGAATAATATCAAGTACAGTCATATTATCAGCTACATGTACTTAAGTAGCAAAAGAAAAAGTACTTGTTGTGAAAAAGTAGATGTAGATACTTGAATTACTCTTAGAATACATTACTGCATTATAGAATTCGAATGATATCAGTATATCATGTGTATTAATATATAAATTATAACTGTGAGTGTTAAATAAATAAGGTGGAGTAAAAAGTACAATATTTGCCTCTGAAATGAAGCGGAATAGAATTATAATTCCATGCCGTCACAGTAACCCATCCTATACAGCTAACCATTGTTGTTCTCTACCGTCCACCAGGCGCCTTGGGGGACTTCTTGGAGGAATTAGATAATCTCCTCTCACTCATCCCTGAAACTGGCCCTCCCGCTGTACTTCTCGGAGACTTCAACCTCCAGACGGGGAAGATAGACGAACTAACATCTCTGTTAACCGCCTTTGCTTTCTCACTGACTCCGTCCCCACCGACTCATAAAGCTGGCAATGTCCTTGATCTCATATTCTCAAGGAACTGCGCTACTTCTAACCTCTCTGTAAACCCGCTCCACACATCCGATCACTTCTTCATTTCATTCTCTCTACCCCTTTCCAAACATAACAAACTAATCTCTTCTCATCCTGCACTTGTCCGCCGTAACCTTCGCTCCCTCTCCCCCTCTACCTTTGCCTCGTCGGTGCTCTCAGCCCTCCCTTCCTCTGACTCGTTCCAACTCCTGCCTCCAAACTCTGCTGCAGAAACTCTCCTCTCTACTCTCTCATCCACTCTGGACTCGCTCTGTCCACTCACATCTCGGCAGGCTCGTCAGTCCCCTCCTGCTCCCTGGCTAAATGATGCACTGCGTGCTAATAGAACCGTCCTTCGGGCAGCAGAGCGGAAATGGTGGAAATCCAAACACCGTGACGACCTCCTAACCTATCAAGCTCTCCTCTCCTCTTTCTCTGCTTCGATCTCTCAGGCAAAAAGCACTTTCTTTCAAAATAAGATCCAATCTTCCTATTCCAATCCTAAAAAACTATTTTCCATCTTCTCCACCCTCTTGGACCCCCCAAAGCCCCTCCTCCCTCCTCACTTCTGTCAAGCGACTTTGTTACCCACTTTGAAAAAAAGGTTGATGATATTCGCTCTTCTTTTTCTGACTCACCTTTACTCACCGCTGGGTCACCAGACCCTCCTTCCACCAACACACTAACCTCCTTTTCCCCTCTCTCTCCAAGTGAGGTTCTTACCCTCATTACCTCTGCCCGCCCTACCACCTGTCCTCTGGACCCTATCCCTTCAAACCTCCTTCAGACTATCGCTCCTGATATTCTACCGTTTCTCTCCCATTTCATCAACACTTCTCTAACTTCTGGTCACTTTCCAAACAGTCTCAAGGAGGCAAGAGTAAACCCTCTCCTAAAGAAACCCACTCTCAACCCGTCTGATGTTATAAACTACAGGCCTGTCTCTCTCCTCCCGTTCCTGTCTAAATCACTTGAACGCGCTGTCTTTAAACAACTCTCCTGTTATCTCAATCAGAACAACCTTCTGGATCCGCACCAGTCTGGTTTCAAGGCAGGTCACTCCACAGAAACTGCTCTCATTGCTGTCACGGAGGAACTGCACACTGCCAAAACTGCATCCCTCTCCTCTGTCATCATCCTGTTGGACCTGTCTGCTGCATTTGACACGGTGAATCATCAGATCCTCCTTCGCACTCTCCAAAAACTTGGAGTTTCAGGCTCTGCACTTTCCCTCCTCACCTCATACCTGAAAGACCGTACCTACAGGGTGACTTGGAGAGGGTCTGAGTCCGACCCTTGTCAATTAACTATGGGGGTCCCTCAGGGCTCTGTTCTTGGTCCCCTCCTCTTCTCCCTGTACACAAACTCGCTCGGATCAGTCATTAGCCCGCATGGTTTTTCTTACCACTGCTACGCTGACGACACCCAATTCATTCTGTCCTTTCCCCGCTCAGAGACCCAGGTCGTTGCACGCATCTCTGCTTGTCTAGCTGACATCTCTCAGTGGATGTCTGCTCATCACCTCAAACTCAACCTTGACAAGACTGAGCTGCTCTACCTCCCGGGAAAAGATTGTCCCACTCTTGACCTAACAATCAACATCGGCACCTCAGTTGTTTCCCCGACTCAGACTGCAAGGAATCTGGGTGTGACCCTAGATAACAACCTGTCCTTCACTGCAAACATCGCTGCTACAACCCGTTGCTGCAGATACACGCTTTACAACATCAGGAAGATACGTCCCCAGCTGACACAGAAAGCGACTCAGGTTCTGGTCCAGGCTCTCGTCATCTCACGCCTAGACTACTGTAACTCCCTCCTGGCTGGTCTACCTGCATGTGCCATCCGACCTCTGCAGCTCATCCAGAATGCAGCGGCTCGTCTGGTCTTCAACCTTCCTACATTTTCCCACACTACTCCGCTCCTCCGCTGCCTTCACTGGCTTCCGGTAACTCCTAGAATCCACTTCAAGACACTGGTACTTGCGTACCAAGCTGCGAATGGATCTGGCCCTTCGTACATCCAGGACATGGTTAAACCGTACACCCCAGCACGTGCACTCCGCATCAGCCAAACGACTCGCTGCACCCTCGCTGCGAGGGGGACCCAAGTTCCCAACGGCGAAAACACGTGGGTTTGCTGTCCTGGCTCCAAGATGGTGGAATGAGCTCCCCATTGACATCAGGACGGCAGATAGCTTGCACATCTTCCGGCGCAAACTGAAAACTCATCTCTTTCGACTCCACTTCGAGAGATAGAACTATTAACGAAGCACTTATATACTAATAAAGGACTGGCTTTTCTAAAGCCAGTTGAGTAGCACTTGAAATGTTTTTGCTCTATGAAACCTGATGTACTTATATGAGTCTGTTTTCTTCAAGTTGTATTTTGTTGGATGAACGCACTTATTGTAAGTCGCTTTGGATAAAAGCGTCAGCTAAATTCAATGTAATGTATAAAGTGGCATTAAATGGAAATACTCAAGTAAAGTACAAATATGTCAAAAAAGTCCTAAAGTGCAATACTTAAGTAACGGTACTTGTTACTTTCCACCACTGCCCACTAATAGCACTGCCTCACATTAAGAGAGATAAACAATAAGGTTGCAGATTTACTTTCTTTCTGTACTGTCAACAAATATAATGTCCAGAGTCAACAGAACAACACATGTTTCTAAAAAAGATATACTGTAGCGACAATACATACACCGAAGTATATTTTGACTCAATCTCACATACGCCATCTTGCAGATACTTGAGTAGGTGTACTAGAGCAGTAGCGAACCGAATTTGACATCTCCCAGCTCAGATACCAACAATGTAAGAGTTAAGGAGACTCCTCACCTCATAGAGCGTCTACGCTGCTCATCTGACTTAGTGATGGTTCTTCACAGATTGATGTAGCTGCCTTTAATTGTATTTTTAGAAGGGGCAAATTGTGTGTAGACATACTTACTTTACTTGTAACTTGTATTCATACATTATGGTACTTCTACTTAAGCACGAGATCTGAGTACTTCTCCCACTCTGTCTTTCAGTAAGGTGAGGCTCGTGGTAGAGGTGTTCAGAGGACCAAACTGTTTTTCCCAAATGGAAATCCCCGGCATCTTTTATTTGAAAGCTGAGACCCAGACCCACACAGATGCTATTAACCCACCTCTGGTACAGGCTGCCTGGGCCTGGGGGGGGCTTTGAAGGCTTTGGGCCGTGCAGGTGGGGGTGAGGGAGATCGAGGGGGAGGAGAGGGTGAGTCGGAGCGTCGCTGGGACTGACGTTTCCAATGCTTCTCCTTCTCCTTCTCCTTCTGCTTCCTCTGCTGCTCCTGGGTCTGCTGCTGAGATAGAGTCATGGCCTGCATGGTCATCTGCTGCGCCTGAGGAGGAGGAGGAGGAGGAGGAGGAGGAGGAGGAGGAGGAGGAGGAGGAGGAGGAGGAGGAGGAGGAGGAGGAGGAGGAGGAGGAGGAGGAGGAGGAGAAGACAAGAGTTGGAGAGGAGGAGGAGGAGGAGAAGACAAGAGTTGGAGAGGAGGTCAGAGAAGGAGCAAGGAAAGGGAGAGTGTTGTAACAATAGTACGGTGTGCTCACCATGAGGAAGGCCTGCTGGTTGATGAGGGCTTGCTGAGAGGCTGCCATCTGCAGGGGGTCAGCCACAGGGGCCCCATGCATCATGGCTGGGTAGAGGGGACATGACAAACTGTTATTCAGGTAGGAATCAGATGGATTTAAAGGTCACTTATTATGCAAAAAACACTTCTCCATGTCTCTTCTACATCAACATGTGTCCCCTCTTCTTCATGTCTCTTCTACATCAACATGTGTCCCCTCTTCTTCATGTCTCTTCTACATCAACATGTGTCCCCTCTTCTTCATGTCTCTTCTACATCAACATGTGTCCCCTCTTCTTCATGTCTCTTCTACATCAACATGTGTCCCCTCTTCTCCATGTCTCTTCTACATCAACATGTGTCCCCTCTTCTCCATGTCTCTTCTACATCAACATGTGTCCCCTCTTCTTCATGTCTCTTCTACATCAACATGTGTCCCCTCTTCTTCATGTCTCTTCTACATCAACATGTGTCCCCTCTTCTTCATGTCTCTTCTACATCAACATGTGTCCCCTCTTCTTCACGTCTCTTCTACATCAACATGTGTCCCCTCTTCTTCAGGTCTCTTCTACATCAACATGTGTCCCCTCTTCTCCATGTCTCTTCTACATCAACATGTGTCCCCTCTTCTTCATGTCTCTTCTACATCAATATGTGTCCCCTCTTCTTCACGTCTCTTCTACATCAACATGTGTCCCCTCTTCTTCACGTCTCTTCTACATCAACATGTGTCCCCTCTTCTTCACGTCTCTTCTACATCAACATGTGTCCCCTCTTCTTCACGTCTCTTCTACATCAACATGTGTCCCCTCTTCTTCACGTCTCTTCTACATCAACATGTGTCCCCTCTTCTTCACGTCTCTTCTACATCAACATGTGTACCCTCTTCTCCATGTCTCTTCTACATCAACATGTGTCCCCTCTTCTTCATGTCTCTTCTACATCAACATGTGTCCCCTCTTCTTCACGTCTCTCCTACATCAACATGTGTCCCCTCTTCTCCATGTCTCTCCTACATCAACATGTGTCCCCTCTTCTTCATGTCTCTTCTACATCAACATGTGTCCCCTCTTCTTCATGTCTCTTCTACATCAACATGTGTCCCCTCTTCTCCATGTCTCTTCTACATCAACATGTGTCCCCTCTTCTCATGTCTCTTCTACATCAACATGTGTCCCCTCTTCTTCATGTCTCTTCTACATCAACATGTGTCCCCTCTTCTCCATGTCTCTTCTACATCAAACATGTGTCCTTCTACATCAAACATGTGTCCCCTTTCTTCATGTCTCTTCTTCATCAACATGTGTCCCCTCTTCTTCATGTCTCTTCTACATCAACATGTGTCCCCTCTTCTTCATGTCTCTTCTACATCAACATGTGTCCCCTCTTCTTCATGTCTCTTCTACATCAACATGTGTCCCCTCTTCTTCATGTCTCTTCTACATCAACATGTGTCCCCTCTTCTTCATGTCTCTTCTTCATCAACATGTGTCCCCTCTTCTCCATGTCTCTTCTACATCAACATGTGTCCCCTCTTCTTCATGTCTCTTCTACATCAACATGTGTCCCTCTTCTTCATGTCTCTTCTTCATCAACATGTGTCCCCTCTTCTTCATGTCTCTTCTACATCAACATGTGTCCCCTCTGTGGAAAGAGACTCTGAAAGTTTCAGGAACAAAGATTCTCTCTCTTTTTGATCCATTTCTATAAAAACCTGTCTGAAAATGAGCTGATCAGATTTTGGCCACTTTATGATGTCATAGCGATGTTTTGTCTTGTGTAACCATTAGCCAATCAGCAACCAAGGTAACCCCCCCCCACCTTATCACCTGAATGTCCGCCTAGAGCACCATTGTGTTCTTTTTAACCAAATGTCTCTCAGAGGGGCGTGGGGAGGGGCTCCTTATTTTCATCTAAAGTAACAGACAGAGAATCAGCACTTTGGAAACAGGGCTGAAACAGAGGGGATTATGGGTAATGCTGCAATGATCTGTTTGGTGTTTGGAGCCAAACACTTCAGAGACATGTTTTGTATATATATCTGAGACCTGTGATATATAGACCTTTAAATCACCAACCATACAACATAGCAATCATTATGTATATATATATATATATACATATATATATATATATGTATATATATATACATATATAATGGCTTTTAACAGGCTGCTGTAAAAACATCAGAATATAGGTACAATAAAGTATATCAAATAAACACAAACAATCCTACTGTTGGAACAGTTTTGAGGGGTGGGGGATTTCATTTCCATAATGTCTATCAAATATATATATATATACAGTATATAATATATACCTATATCAAATGTATTTGTCCAGAACAGGTTTGTTAAATTATATGTTTGGAGCCAGTGGTCTTTTTTCTGTATTTTCCAGTTTATTGTGATTGAATGTGTTGAAAGTGTTTTTCAATTAATAATTTTTAATCTTGATGGGATTATGTAAACTTGACATAATATTTACAGTTGTATTCTCATTTACTCAAGTACTTGAATGAAAGGTGTGTGTATTACCTGGCATTGTCATGGTTGGCATCATGGGAGCCCCATAGCTCTGAGTGGAAGGGTTAACTGGTGTTTGTGAGCAGAGGCAACAAAGAAACATAGTTTAGAAAACTCTCATGCAGTCACTTTTCTGCCACTCAAAAGGATTCAAAGCTTGAAGACTCCGATAGGACACAAAAAGCGTTATTCTTCAAATCAATCTTACCCATAGGATAAGTTGGCATTGTCATGGGTATACCTGAAAAACAGAATGATCCGTTATAAATACAGTTTGCAAAGACACATGAATCCCAAATGAGACTTAAAATCTGATTATTTGACAAACGGTGGAAAACGTTTTTATAAGTGAAACTACCAGCGTCAAACTCTGTTCTATCTCACACAGGCTCCGCCCTCTACTGGACTCTATCCCCATTACTTTCATGTCGAAATTGCTAGAATGCCAAAACACAGGTATTTGCGCTTTGTCCGGTACATTGGGCTCTATTCCATCCTAGCTATAGCTACTGGTGGACAAGCGGCTTGCTCATGCCACAGTCAATGTGTATGCAGCAGCCATATCGTCCTGTCATGCAGGATTTGGCGGCAGACCAGTCTTTAGCCAACCGCTTATGAAGCGTTTTTTGCAGGGGATCAGGAGACAGCGCCCAGTGGTGCATATCTCCACCCCGCAATGGGAACTGCCATTGGTGCTCGAGGCTTTGGTTACAGAACCATTGAGCCTCTGGAGCTCTCCTCCCTGTAGGCACTATCATTGAGAGAGAGGGAAGCAAAAAGAAACAGCTTTGCTGCTTGCTTTGACTTCTGCCAAGAGAGTATGCGCACTGACCGCTCTATCGGTGCACCCGAGTTGCCTTCTGGTTCGTGGTGACCGTAGCAGGGTGACACTCCGAACACCGAACCCCTCCTCTGTTCCCAAGAACCTAACGAGTTCTTCAAGGTCGAGGGTTATACAGCTAGACGGCCACTGAGGTCCATGCACACTCTCCACGAGGTATGGCTGTGTAGACAGCCTTGTTCGACGGCGTGAGTGTGGTTTTCCCATGCTCCTTAGGGACCTGGAAACGGGGTGCGCAGTGTATAGTCACTTGCGCTGGCACCTGCGGGGCGGAGCTATGGGGTTATTCAGATCGATTAAGCTCTACCCAGCCAGGTAAGCTGAGGCCCCGACTTCTCCACGGTCACAACCGGGTGATAGGAAGTTGGGGTGCGATGGCTGTTAACCAAAGGCCGGTCAGGGGCAGTGTGGTGGGTCGATGTTGTAGGGCGACAGGGCGTTTATTCATGGGTACCCATAGAGTCCAGTAGAGGGCGGAGCCTGTGTGAGATAGAACGATAGGTTACGTATTGTAATCCTAGTTCTATAAACACAGACGGAGCCCTCTACCTAGGGGCCCTGTCTTTCCTATGCCGAATGCTACTTAATGTTTTAGGTTGTATACCGTTTCTCTACAGTACACAGAGTTAGTATGATCCACAGTGTGGATATAATGTGAAGAATAATACGGTTTTCCACTGGTTCCATCCCCTCAGTCAGCATGTACCTGTGTCCTGTGTACATACACTTCACCCCAAATTGCTCCTGTGGGGATTGCCCACAGTATTGAATGTATGTAAGTCGATGTTTTCCTACCAGCTCCATACATGGGTCCAATCCCTCCACCTCCTTTCATCCTGCGGTTCAGCATGGCTACTCTTTCCATGTCCTACACACACACACACACACACACACACACACACACACACACACACACACACACACACACACACACACACACACACACCACACACACACACCACACACACACACACACACACACACACACACACACACACACACACACTACACACACACACACACACACACACACACACACACACACACACACACACACACACACACACACAGACACACACACACACACACACACACACACACACACACACACACACACACACACACACACACACACACACACACACACACACACACACACACACACACACACACACACACACACACACACACACACACACACACACACACACACACACACACACACACACACACACACACACACACACACACACACACACACCACACACACACACACACACACACACACACACACACACACACACACACACGTAGTTACTGGACAGAAAGCAGGAAACAGAACGATAGTTAACTGTAACTACGGCTGTAACTACGGTTCTATGAGTCCCGGATGACCGCCAGAGGCGGTGCTTTAGCACTGGATATGTCCATCGCGCGCATGCGCAGCTCGAGTACCAATAACAACAAAGTCACCTGTGACCCACGTGACACCGGCTATATCAGCCGGTGTCGTCAGAGGATCTGTTCCCAGAATCTTCTCGCGAGCACACAATAATTCTGAGTGACAGGATACTCTGGCGGTCATCCGGGACTCATAGAACCGTAGTTACAGCCGTAACTATCGTTCTATTTCGTCCCTACTGACCGCCAGAGGCGGTGCTTTAGCACTGGATGACCTATACCAACCATGTCATGAAGAATCCAAGCACTTACTCACCTAGCTGGAAGCAGCGGAGCTTGGCCACAGGACCACATCCAGAGGGTGAGGAGTGGCGACATTGACCCGGTAGAACCTGGAGAATGTGCCAGAAGACGACCATGACGCCGCGGCGCAGATGGTCTCCAGGGGCACCCCTCTTAGGGCAGCCCACGATGTTGAGATGCTTCTTGTAGAGTGGCATCTGGCCCCTGATGGCGGGGGTCGGCCACTGTTCCCATAGGCATATGTGATGGTATCAACCACCCAGTGGGACAGCCGCTGTTTCGAGAGAGCACGACCCTTCCTAGTGCCGCCATGGCAAACAAAGAGCTGCTCTGACTGCCGTATACAGGCCGTAGCATCAATATACGCCCTCAGGGCACGCACAGGGCACAGCAACTCAGGTGTGCCGCTCTCCTGTGGAATGTTAAAGCGTGCCAGCTAGATAGGCCGATTGGAGTGGGCTAGTGGAAGCACCTTGGGCAGGAACGCCACATTCGGCCAGAGGGTGACACCCGAGCCATCGGAGTTCCACCTCAGGCATGTACTGCTTACGGAGAGGGCATGAAGCTCTCCGACTCGCTTCCCTGAGGTTATGGCAAGCAGAAATGCTGCCTTCAGGGACAGCCACTTAAGCCCGACCTGGGCCAGGGGCTCGAAGGGAGGAGATGATAGGGCATCCAGCACTAGGGGCAGGTCCCAAGCCGGGGCCCTTGGGGTGCTAGGGGGACGCTGCCGTAGAGCCCCTCTTAGAAAGAGGGACACCAACCTGTGGCGCCCCAACCGAAGGAGGGGCAGGCGGCACACTAGCAGCCCCTATACCGGGCCCTGGCTGAAGGGCCAAGAGGAGCGACTTCATCGTGTCCATGTCGGTAGCTAGCTGATCCACTTTAGAGGACAGCCTGTTTCTTGTCCTCCTATTGGGGGGTGCACCCATGGCCATCGCTCCCTCAAGTCGCCGGGGACGGACGAACTGATCTGGAGGAGGATGTGACCAGGAGAGGTGTCCGTTGGCTGCCGCCAGACGTTCCACCTCAGTGATTCTAGCCACTCTGAGTGCCCGGGGCATGCAGCTACAGTTCATGCAGGCACCTACCGTGAGAGCCTCCCTTAGATGCTCGAGGCCGAGGCAAGAGGGGCAGCGGTCGTGGCCGTCCTCGGGCTCAAGAGAGGCCATACAGGCGCTACATGAATGAGCCATTCTGTAGGTAGCCAGATGCAGAGTAGCCGGGAGCGGGTGCGGGAACACAGCCTTCACCCGCTACCTGCTTAACGGAAAGAGTAGAGCCGCGCCGCTACTCGCCAAACCGAAAGAGGGATGTAATTACACCCACGTTACCGGCAGAGGGAGCGGGAGCGAGAGCACTGCCTTCACCTAGCTGGATTAATAACTAAGGCAGTTTACCAGGAGCGGGGGCGAGAACACTGCCTTCACTGGTTGAGCTAGAGGCGTGCCAGATGCAGCGTAACCGGGAGCGGGTGCGGGAACACAGCCTTCACCAGCTACCTGCTTAACGGAACCCAGGCAGTTTAGCGTCTACCAGGAGCGGGGGCGAGAACACTGCCTTCACTGGTTAAATTAAAGACGAATGCCAGATGCAGCGTAACCGGGAGCGGGTGCGGGAACACAGCCTTCACCAGCTACCTGCTGAACGGGAAGAGTAGAGCGGTGCTGCTACTCGCCGAACAGAAAAAGGGATGTAGCTACACCCACGTTACCGGCAGAGGGAGCGGGAGCGAGAGCACTGCCTTCACCTAGCTGGGTAACTTCTAAAGAAAAAACAGCACGGGAAACTCCGGTGCTTATCCCGGTGTCAGCCGAGTGGCTGCAGCCGCTGCTGCTAATTAGCCAAACAAGAAACACAGCTCAATGCTAATGAATTTTGGCACAACGCCGCGGCCAGAACAAGTACAGCAAGGGCAACTCCTGGGAGAGGGAGCGGAAACACCTCCGTCACCAAAAAAGTTCAAGCCCAAAAGCAAACAGACAGTAATCAGGACAACTAGGCTGGGAGAGGGAGCGGAAACACTGCCATCACCAACCAAGCCGACACCAACCTGTCCGAACGAAGTCTCTGCGCAGCCAGCCACAGCTCCTGGAGGACGGGTAAGCCCGCGGCCCCGACTGGATGAGTCGCGAAGCTGCACGCAGCCAGCTGTTTGCAGAGAATCCTTGACAAATGTTCCAACCGAACGAACGCTGTAGACTACAAAAATGTAGCCAAGGTACTCTCGCGCAGTGAGAAGATGAAAGGAACAGATCCTCTGACGACACCGGCTGATATAGCCGGTGTCACGTGGGTCACAGGTGACTTTGTTGTTATTGGTACTCGAGCTGCGCATGTGCGCGATGGACATATCCAGTGCTAAAGCACCGCCTCTGGCGGTCAGTAGGGACGAAATAGAACCCAGTGACTTCAGACTTCACACGCTCAGTAATAAGATACAGCCAGACCACACGATCCCCCCTGAGTATAAAATGTAACACTCTCTGGAGAATCTAACGTAAATATAACATTTACATTAGTTACAGTTTTAACTATAGAAAATCGAGTGAAGGGTTATTATCTGCCACAATGGCCCTAAAGCCCTCTTCTGAATACACCCTCCTCCAAACTTTGACAGACAGACAGACAGACAGACAGACAGACAGACAGACAGACAGACAGACAGACAGACAGACAGACAGACAGACAGACAGACACGGACAAACACACAGACACACACAGTCTGATGACCACTAACCGGAGGTCCTTGGTCCAGTACAGGGTCAAACAGGTCATCAACGTAAGCGTCCATCTGTCTCCCACGGCCTGCAGACAGGTGGAGAGAGATCAGAAGGTAAGACAGAAAAAAAACCGGACCCCAACACTAAGGTTTATGTGCCCTATCACCTTCAGCTAAACACATAACATATATCTATATCGTACTGTATGAACACGATATAAACGTGACGATTAAAAAAGGTATTAAATCTTGTTTTTGATCCAGTAGCATAATGATCAGTCTGAATATCCATTTGGTTTCAGTCCATCCATTCAGCTGGCCTAATGTCCAGGTTAGCCATGCTTCTGGCTCTCTTTGAATCAGAAAGCTGTTTCAGCACACAAGCTGTGATAAAGCCACAAAGCACTGCTCTACTGTACACTGGAGTACTAATTAGTACGTGTACTAATGACATGTGGGGGCCATTGATAACATCTTTGATATTCCACAAGGGCAGAGTCTAAGGGCTTGAGTTTGCCTGAAACAACTAAACTGTACAAACTTCTAAAGCAAAAGAACAAAATGGCCATACTTTTAGCCGTCATTTGTCCTGAAGCATGTTATCCCTCTTACCTTCCTGTGGATAATCTCTCCCCCAGGAGCTTCCCTCAAAAGCAGGCAGCCCAGGAGCTTGCATCGGGGGTGCTGGTGGAATAAAGTCATCCAGGTCTGTAGCTGGCATCCTGAAGGGGGGGGGGGGAGAGCAGCACATTACGAGAACATACTCTTTTAAAAAAACCTGGATAAACCCAAAAACCATCCGTTTGTTCAGTCTCTACCTGTCCCCCTGGCTGCTGAACAGGTAGTCGGAGTGTGTAGAGGAGGGCGTCCCTGGGGGGGGCAGCACCTCAGCTTCAGCTCCAGCCAGGAGATCCAGGACGAAGTCTGAGCCGGCCAGATCTGACCAGCCTTCATCCGTCAGGAGAGACACCGACCAGCCCTGCACTGCCTCCGGCGCGCCTCTGAAAACAGCACGGGGGGGTTACACCACACAGAGAAGGATGAACTGGGAATAATATACATATAAATCTTAAAGCTCCCATGGCATGCTTTTCTGGTTATTACCCGTCCTCTTGTGTGTCATGTAGCTTTTTCTGCATGTAAACGGTCTGCAGAGTCACACACCCTCAAAGTACACCCTGTAGCGAGTAAAACTCTAGAACGCCTCGTTGGAGATTTTTCTTTTTTCATTTTTTTCTTCCTGAGTATAGTGACGTAACGATACCCAGGTCCAAATGGACCAATGCGCTGTCTCGCAGACCCCACGCAGCAACCAGGAAACGACACCAGTAACCCAGCTCACCCTGTCCGCTCCTCGAGTCTCAAAGGGCGGAGCAGCGAGCCCCGCAACGTCCCGCCAACACGGCACCCAGACCCCACGCAGCATTCTCATCTGTTTGTCATTACTGGTGTCATTTTCTGGTTGCTAACAAACGCCATTGTAAAACATAAACACTGATGTTCCGCTGTAACGGTGGTGGACTCATCAGAACAGAGTGGGCGAGCTGACCAATCAGAGCACACTGGAGGGGGGGGGGCAGGAGCTCCAACAAGCCATTTAGGACAGAGTGAATACACATACTATACAGAGATGCTGTATGAGAACCAATGTGAGTTTGGAACATTGAACAATGTAAATCTATTCTAGTAGACCTCAACAATGGAATTATGATCAGTAGAAATGGCCATGACATGGGACCTTCAAATGGAGGTAGATCCACTGCTTGTTCAGAAGTACCTATAATGCAGGAGCCATGCAGCCAGCTCCTCTCCTGTGGTCCATGACTCCACTTCAGTGGTCAGCTTCTCATCTGAAAACAACAAAGCTTGTTTAGGTTCACACTGTGCTGCCGATATCATGTGTCAGGTTTCATGATGCTAATGTTTTCTTTCTTACCGTTGTAGGTGTGTACATCCAGCAGCATGGTGCCTTTCCTCTGGTTGGCAGTCCACTCCAGCTGGGTGGGGGGGTAGACGCGGGCCGCAGGGGCCGGGAGCTGCAGAGAGGTCAGCAGCTTGTGTTGGCACAGAGAGCGGTACTCCCCCGGACCGTGGTCAGAAACATACCTGAAGAACGAGAGAGCAGGCTGAGTCATGGCAGACACAGTGTTTCAAAGTGGTTTAAGGAATGGCATGGTCAAAAAGAGAACATCCATAACATGATTTAAAAGGTTTCTACAAAATCCAGTGCAAGAGTCAGAGACTGAATTTTGAAAAGCACTAGTCACTTTCAAGAATCTCAACATTTTCAAAGTTAAAGGCGAACATGTTCACCAAATCATCATCATCATTTCCTGTTTGCAAAGCAGACCTGGAGCAACATTAGCATCACTGTCACTTTAAACTGGGTGTCCAATCAAATATCTGTCTCTTTAACCAAAGTTTAAAGAGCCTGTGACAGCATCCCAACAACTGTTGTGCAATGAAATATTGGGCTACTAGTAATCTTGAACCGTCAGTTTAAAAAAGAAAAAGCGATACCGTTCCGTTAAATATCAATAATTTCGAACATCGCGGGGAAATTCCTTCGAAGTTTTGGGGGAAGCCGGAAGTGACGTCAATGCGGGAACGCTTCACTGTGCGGCGAGAGAGCCAAACACGGACAAAGTGTGTTGTCATGCGTAGAAATTGTGAATTACTGAGTTTAGGCACGTTAATAACGTTTTAATGAAGTTGACTACAGAATATTCCTATTTGTCAGTGCTTTCATGTCAATTCGGCGAACATAAACATAAATGATCGTGGTGAAGATGATGATTAAATTAGGATTAAAAATCGGTAGTGAGAGCTACTGAATTTCGTCCCGTAGGATGTGATATAAAAACAAATCGATTATTTTTGTAGTTGTAAACTCAAGTGGATGAAACTACATGTATTAGTGCTTTCATGTCAATTCGGCGAACATATGATAGATTAAATGATCGTGAGAATGATGATTAAAAATCGTTTGTTTGTGCCGGTCTGCATTTCCTGATGAGAAAACAAACCGATGCTTTTTGTAGTTGTAGTACACCAACATGGATTAAACGTGTGTTTTTTTCACCACAATGTTGGGGAAATTAATGGATAAAATGCACGGATTATTATTATTATTCCCACTCCGATCGGGACACTAGGTCCACCGTTTCCCCGCAGCGAGGTGTTTCAGTCTGCAGCTTTATTCCGTAACTCACAACTCCATTACATGTATATTCCCGCGCTTGCGGATATAGTACATCACAGTGTAAGCCTGTGTCAGCATGCAGTTTACTAAAGCGCCAACAGGCGTCACTATATAGCAGGCATTAACAGATGCCCATATCTGTAACATCTCCTTTCCTTTAGCTGTAAACAACATCAGCATGTCACTTTAAAGTGCAGGTAAGAGCTACATTGTGTAAAGCTAACACTTTAACATTGTCAACCTCCAATACATGAAAACAATTACAATACTGATTAACCATGCAAGTACCGATACAAAACTATAATAATATCCAACCATTCTTCTTTTTTTTTCTTAACAGTCCAACAGACTTAGTGACAATGTTCCCAGTTGTATCACAGGTTCAGTCTCTGCGGCGGCCGTAACAGGCGACCACACCGCGAGTATACAGCTTGGCTCTCTGTACTCACTGGCTTCCCTGGTGTCAAACCCCGCCCTTGCGCCGGGACCCCTGGAGAGTGAGGAGGCTCCCCCAAACCTGTGTCATCCTGGACCGGGTCGGTTCGAGCTCCACCTGCAGCCCTCTCTGCGTTGACATGGCCCCAGTCCGTGTGGCTGCTCTGCTCCGGCCCTACCAGCTGTCGCATCCGGGCTGAGCGCTCCGCAACCCGCAGATCCACCCGGTTTCTCCTGTAGAGCGTGCCGTCCACCTCCACTACGAATGAGCGAGGAGCGACTTTCTGGAGGCATTGACCCAGTTGCCAACGGCCTGTGCGATCTCCTGGAAGAGGCCTCATCCTTATGTGTTCCCCAACATTCAGTTCTGGTAAGTCCCTTGCCGATATGTCGTAGGCGGATTTTGCAAGCCGCCGTTTCAACCGCAGCTTCTCCGTCACTCCCGTCACTAACCACGGTTGCAGCAAGCTGTCCGCAACCGGCAGCGAAGTCTTCAGCCTTCGTGACATTAAGCGTTGGGCTGGACTGCTGTCCAACCCCTCTGTGGGCGTGTTGCGCCAATGGAGAATGGCCTGCCATTTATCCGTGCCATCCAACTTTGCCCGCTTGCAGAGTGATTTCACTATCTTGACAGCTGACTCAGCTTTGCCGTTTGATTTTGGATATCTGGGTGAGGATGTGACATGGTTAAATCCCCACTTTGCAGCAAACTTCCTGAACTGTTCACAGGCGAACTGTGGGCCATTATCTGTGAGCACTTTGTCTGGCTGTCCGTAGCGTGCAAATTGAGATTTACAGCGTGTGATGAGAGTGTCAGCTGATAGATCCGGCAGAAGATCAATCTCCCAGAAGTCTGAATAGTGGTCCACTAGGACGATGAAATCTTGGCCAGCGTAAGAGAAGATATCCATACTCACTGTTTGCCATGGACGTGTTGGGATATCATGCGACATCAATGATTCCTTCTGCTGGGCTCGTGCATATTCATTGCATGCAGAGCAGTTCGACACATAGTCTTTTATCTCTGTTCTCATGTTTGGCCAGAACAGCGTATCCCTGGCGCGCCTGTAACATGCCTCCCCCCCGATGTGGCTGGTGTGTATGCGTCTTAACAACTCTGCCCTCAAGGCCTTAGGGATAACAACGCACTGCCCTCTGTATAGCACACTGTTTTGCACGTTGAGCTCATCCCTGAAGGGCCAGTATTCTCGCACCAAGAGGGGGGTGTCCTCTTTGAAATCAGGCCATCCCCTGAGGATTACTGATGTCAAAGCTTGTAATACATCGTCCATCTCTGTGTGCTGGGCAATTTGGCGAAACCTGAAGTCAGTAACATCCAGATGCTGTGCCTGATCCAGCTCTGAGTCCTCCACCTGAAAGCTGTCCATGGAACACACCGCCTGTCGTACATAGGGGGTGTCGGAACCACGATACGGTGGAGTGGCCCTGCTTAGAGTGTCACTGACATACATCTCCGTGCCTGGTTTGTAAACAACATCCAGATTGTACCCCTGGAGCTGCAGTAACATGCCCTGAAGGCGTTTAGGCGCATTCATGAGGGGCTTCTTAAAGATGGTGATCAGTGGTTTGTGGTCTGTTTCTGCAGTGATTGTGTCCCTGCCGTATAGGTACTGGTGAAATCTCTGGCATGCAAAAACTATGCTTAAACACTCTTTCTCTATTTGAGCGTAGTTTTGCTCAGTCCGTGTCAGTGCGCGTGAGGCAAAGGCTACGGGCTGCCCCTTTTGCAGCAAGCAGCACCCCAGTCCATTCATGCTGGCATCACTCTGGATCGTTACAGGCTTTGTGACGTCATAATATTTGAGAACCGGCGTGTTGGTGACCATCCGCTTTATCTCGCGTATTGCATCATCGTGTTTTGGCAGCCAGTGCCATGCTGTGTCCTTATCCAGGAGTCTGCGAAGAGGCTCACAGATCTCCGATAGCCCTGGCAGGAACTTAGCCAGATATGTCACAAACCCGATCATGCGTTGCACTGCCTTAGCATCCGTGGGCGTCGGCATGTCCAACACTGCTTGAGTTTTCTCTGGGTCGATTTTCAGTCCTTCTGTAGACAGTACATGGCCGTGGAAATGTACAGCTTTGAGCTTGAACTGCAGCTTGCGTTCACTCAATCTGAGCTTCACAGCCCTGCACCGTTGCATGAGAGCTCTTAAGTTGGTGTTGTGGTCCTCTTCAGCCTCTGCGTCCGTATCGCCACACCCGACCACCAGGATGTCATCCGCAATAGGCTCGATGCCAGCCAGGCCTGATAGCAGCTCATGTTGCTTGCGCTGATAGATCTCTGGCGCCACTGAGACTCCAAACGGGAGTTTGAGCCATCTCATCCGACCCCATGGGGTCCAGAATGTCGTCAAGCGGCTGCTTTCCTCATCAAGCTTGCACTGGAGAAAGGCGTCACGAGCATCAACCAGTGTGAAGACACGAGCCTTGGGCAGTTTGTACAAGACGTCTTCTAGCGTTGGCATGTGGTAATGGGACCTGAGAAGTGCCTGATTGAGAGGCTTTGGGTCAATGCAGATTCTTATCTTGTCTGGTTTAGCTACTGTCACCATGTTGCTTATTGTAGAGTTATATTTGTATTTATTCATGTTAGCAAACTATGGATAAGCTTAAAATGGGAATAATTTGGGTAAAACTGTGAGCTGCATTTGGGGCCTGTTGACATGTGTTTTTGAGGACAAAGGAAGATGGGGGAAGGTGAGAGCATGTCCTGATTTGCATTCAACTTAGATCTAGCTGCAGTGTTTGTGATGTTAAGAGAGGTCCCTTGGGTTTCTCTGGTGGTTATCAACAGTAGCAGTTAAGTGAATACTGTTCAAACAATACCTGTGTTTGTGTTTTATATTGATTTCTCTGTTTTATCCTTTCATAAATGTAAGGACTACAAATGGCTATAAACATTCTGGGCTGGTTGGAGTAAACAGGGTTTTATAGCTCTGTGGGGGAGGTGTAGGTATGCAGGCCTTGAGACCTTTTGTTGGAAAGTGAGCCTGTTTGGTTTCCTGCTGCGTTTCCTGCTGCGTTGCGTCTCCCAATGAGATGACCTGAAAAGATGACCAGCTGACCTAACACCAAACCCCTCCTTCTTACTCTGGTATATATCCGGTGGATCCCTGGCGTTCGGCCTCTTCTTCACATGCTGCGCTCGGGTGAAAGTAGCTCTGCAGTATGCGGACTAGAGCAGGAGTAAGCCGGCATTACTCCTTAAGCATTGCAATATAACTGTAATATATCATGTTGTATTGTAATGATTGTATTGCATTGTCATATTGCCATTAAAGTAGATTATTGTTAACGGTTACTTTGTAGATATGGATTCCTTCCTGTATTATAACCAGCTTCATAGGAACGCGCGGAGATTTGAAAAGCGGACCAGTTATCCCTCCAAATCTCCAACAAAATGGTGACCCGACGTCTATAACGAAGCTGAGGAAGAATTCAGACG